ATCACATTTAAGCCAACGTTCGTCTGCAAACAAAAAAACAACTTGCTCATCTTGAAGACGGGGCTAAGCAGGGCGGCAGGGCACAGAATTTTATGGTATTTTTAGTATGGCCTATACGTTTATTATACAGCATTAAAATGCACATATATTTTGTTATAAGAATAAAGAAAACTCTTCGTACACAAAATTGTTGTTGGTTATTTCTTTTCTTCTTTAAGTTGTTTTCACAATTTTTTGTAGCAGCATTTATGGAAGGATGAAAAGGTTCTATGTATGATAAATGCTAAAAGGTCGAGAAACAAGATGTGACTAGCTTCGTAGCTTTTGAATACATAAAAACCCACCACTGTTCTTAGAATTGGTGTACTTTATCTGCCCCCGCCGTCTACCGAAGACGGACTTACTGCGACAATGTTTTTCAACGAATTTCCCAAGTTTGCTTGAGCGTTTAGCCGTATCTAGTGGTGGTTTAGTGAGGAAATTGCCGTAGGAAAACGCAAGCGTCGTCAACTAGAAAGGTGTTGGCCCAAGTCTGGATATGAAGTATCAGAAGTAGATAAGCAACAATACGCCGATCAGTGTAGTCGGGTTCGTACGCTTCGCTTATTTAATTTATGATATTAAATCGGATTCTAGGGGTTTATTTATACTACAGACTGTCTGCTTCACCTTACGTCTGAGAAACACTATCCAACCTGCGGCTGTGCTAAAGAATTGCGTGATAAGTTCGCTGACTTTTTCTCCGATAAAATTGTGACAATCAGGGATCAACTGGATACGTTATCTATAACGGACGCACCTGATTTTGCGATGCTTGATGATGCCCTTGTTGACATTGTTGCATGTACAGCTGCATGTAAGTTAAGCGAATTTTCTCCGACTTCAGGGAAAGAACTAATGGTACAAGGTGGTTCTAACTTTTGAATCTGTGGATGAAATCCTATGGTGTTACCATTCAAATGAAAGGTACTGTGAAGTACTTTCCTGTGGTACGGTTAATTATGATGTACAAGGTGGTTCTAACTTTTGAATCTGTGGATGAAATTCTATGGTGTGACCATTCAAATGCCGGAAAGCTACTGAGCAGTACTTTCCTGTGGTACTGTTAATTATGTCGTACAAGGTTGTTCTAACTTCCGATTCTGTGGATACAATCCTATGGTGTGACCATTCAAATGAAAGCTACTGAGCAGTACTTTCCTGTGGTACTGTTTATTATGCTGTACAAGGTGGTTCTAACTTTTAATTCCAGCCATTAATTCTTTTCGATTTTACCGCAGAAAATTGATGTTCGTTGGTTTTTACTTTTCTCTTGTTTGTAGTAGTACGGCACGTTATGAAAGCGATCTAAAAGAGTTAATAGCGACTTCATTTCCGTGCGTGCGTCGTTTCCGTGGTGTTGGCATGTTATTAATTTCCTTCTTCTACAACAGTTTAACATGCAAAGTAAAACTTAAACTAATTGAAATGCAAGCTGTTGCTTATCACATCCTTGATAGAGCTGATGGTATTCATGTTTTAAACTGGATGTATCTTATTAACCAGTCAACGGCGTGTATCTGAAAAAGTAGGCCTAGAGCCATACACTTGTTGCTATTTTTCTTTAAAGAATTTCAGGGTATTGGGTTTCCTTTCGGCTTTGGTGAATAAGGCTCGTATATCTTTATCAGAGGAAACTTTTGCGAGAAACCATGTGGGGTTTGTTTTGTGTTTGCTTGCATAATGATGGCGATGATAGCGGATTAAGGAGTCATCTTATGCTCGTTAACCAATCGATGAAAACCTTGTTGACGCTCGGAGCACTTGGCTTTAAATCAAACAATTCCTTGTAATAAAACAATCGATTTTCAAGTATTTATTTACTGTGGTATCCTTGAATACATTTGTTTAAATACTTTTCCAAACTATTAACCGGATAATAGGCCGAGACTTTGAACGCCAAATGCGCTCTTCAATTTTACATGATCAAGTTTACTGCCGCGCGGGTTAATTGGCGTGAACAGTGCGACGTAATTTTTATCAGATTTCTCGTTTGTTTCACACAGCTGATAGAACATTAATGAGGTTCGTATGGTTAACAAAAAAGCGAAATTAGTTTCTTAAACACAAGCAGAACGTCCAAAGATGACAATAAACGTTTTGACCTTTCGTTTTTTGTGTGTGTTTGTAAGTATTGCGTTTTTTAAAACGGGTACAAAAGCTGAGGATTCAAAGGCTGAATAAGTTTGAGAAGCGTTAAATGAGAAGATAGAACTTTGGAATTCTAAAAAAGGGAAATTATTGTCGTTTTGGAGTGCATCAATTTGAGCGGAATGGATGGTGTTCAGAGATAAGCTTAACTTTCGTACGTAAAAAAAGTGTTGATATGTTTATCTTTACGTATTTCCTAACAAGTGTGTCTGTTCAAGCAGAGCTCGGCGGTTCTGCCGGATGAGAGAAATTTATAAGCTGTTCGCGATTAAATTTGATAAGCGTTTTGTTCACGCTTTATTACGTGAAAACAGCTTATAAATATTCAACGCGTGGAAGATTCAGTTCAAGGTTAGCGAGCTCTTGGCCGGGTCTTTAGTGTAACTCGCAAAGCTGTATGCGAATGGTTTGTCTTACACCTATTGTATAGCAAAATTTGGGTTACAAAATACGCGCGAAACACATGAAAATGAACGTGACGAATGCCAACTAGCCTGCGAAAACATCCGTTTCTCCTCGCTCTTCGCTGACACGTTCTGACTAGGCTCCCCGCTGCCCAAGAATCAACTACAACTTGCAAGTGGTCAGTTGCTTGTTTCATCGTCAGAGGTATGCAAAAGTATTTTGTAGATTTGCTAGTAATAATGCTCTTTCATACTTCAATTCTGACGTAATATCATTTCCCAATCAATAATCGAGTAGATACAGTGTAAGCTACTTTCGATAACTCATGTTTTTTTAGCCACGGCTGATCATAGGTCTTTCTTTTTTTGGCCCCCGGGGAAGGGGGGCACTCCCTATAATAAATATACAGGGCGGTTCCGCCCGAAAACGCGTACCTTTTTTCATTCTTCAGATGGGGTAGCGGTTTCACTAGTTGAAGTATATGTAGTAGTGAAAACTTTGTCATTTCGTTCGGTAAAAAGACCCAAAACTAGGACTAACAGATGTATGTTATGGTTGAGAAAATTCCAGAAAACGTTCTGGCTTTGTGATTTATTCATATTTTAAAGATAGTACATTTATAGCAGTTAAAGGGGATGTAAGGTTCTAAACTGGGTACGTGAAGGGGTACCATTTGTCAACAGAAGGTATACGTAAGTAGTTCCTTGTCCGTCAATAATCCATAAAAGCGCAAGGGGTTGGACAGTTGGGGGGGGGAGCCTCCCCGTATAAAAAGTTTTTGAGACTTCCCCCCCCCCCGCCGCCTGTTCTTAGCCTTCACACCTGTTATCGATTAGTTAAGGGGTTGCTGTCTGAATCCTTTTGCGTTGCTTGCTTAGATTTTACAGAGTGATCGGGCTTTCCTTGGATTTCAGTGTTGATAACAGTTAAATGATAATAAGAAGAAATAACTTTGCTTGTCTGCTGCTAATTTGTGACGAGTAATGTATGAAAATAATGACAATTTGTCAACACTGTGCAGTATAAAATCTCAAGGACAGCATGTCTTTAGAAAGAGCTTATAGCGTCCGGTGCCAGTATAAAGGATTGGGCGAAAAGGAAGCGAGCCTACAAAAGCGCAACCCTCGATTTGGCTCGGTGCTGTTCAACTCGAAGGCATCTGTAGCTCTTGGTTGGCTAGATAGATTTGGAGCCACTGGCTAAGTTGTGACTTTTGATTACAAAATTGAATTAAGCTTTCCTGCTTCCTGATTGGCTGAATTTAGGTGTTGTAACATAAGCTCGATCTACACATATTCAAAGACCTATAGTTGGTCTAGTCAGGAGCCGATTAGATTCTAGAAGAGATAGGGTGGGGAAGGTTTGACATGGTGACTGTTTGGTCTAGTTCCCCGGCAATTTTAAATGGGATGAGGTTGGGAAGGTTTGACATTGCCGGACCTTTGTCTTCTCCAAACCCTGAAATCTAAGAGGGCCCGCTACCAACCATCGTGTAACGTTGCCAGACACATGATATAAGCGTAAGTTCTGTTTACTGAGAATATATTCGGTTATATATATAGACCCATCACTAATGAAAACAGCAAGATGTTTTTTCAAACGTTGTACAGCTGTACCAAGCATTTAGCGCCCCTGTACATTGATCTTTAGCACGACTGAACTCCAACGTAAGGCATAGTATGCAAAACAACTAACTCCGTCTAATACCACTGGAATATTCAGTGCAAAAATTTGACGAAAAGAATAGCGCGAATTAATAATGGCGGGAGGATAACAGTTCAAACTGAACACTGCTGAACATAATTTTTTGTGTAAATGGTAACATTATAAGAAGAATTTTACTTTAAAAAAACAAATTAGAGAGTTAACTGGAATTGTATATCAAGGAAGATGGTAGGAGATTTGGTTCGTTGACATTTCGTAAGGAAATACTCTAATTCTGGTAAAATCGCTCTCTTAAAATAGAGCAATGATCCAACGGAAGGTGCTGGATCATGGTGGTTGGTGTCTAAAACACTAAATTTAGTTTGTAGGTTTTTTTAGTATATTTTCATTGAATATTTCTTAGGGTATGGCTTGGCTTCTTTCTTTAAGTATACAGTCATCCTCGCTTTATGTTAGAAACGGAAATAAATTGATCTTCAATTTGATTAATTTCAATTTCAATTTCAATTTCCCGGGATTAAAAGTATCAATCACGGAATCTACTTGTGTAAAAGAGTACTCCGCTTGGGCCAAAGTGAATGTTTGATGGAAAAGGCTTTCAACAGCGGAATCAGCTTACATTGTAATTTCCACAGATAAATACACCGGACCAACGGTGAGCTTAAATGCTGCACGTAACAGCGTATATTAAAGCACGTTTTAAGGCTAGTTTACACTGAAAACCTTTGCGGTTCGCATGCGGTGCTTATGATGACACGCCTACAGCACGAATCGTACGATGTAAATAAAATCTATGACTGTCAAGCCAAGGGGACGAGTCTGTTAGATCAGAACACGCTAAACAACATGTTATTGTTGTAGGACCGGGAAGTCGTGGGGCGTACTTCCTCTATCCTCCCGTCTCTCTCTACCCTAGCCAGCCCCTAGTGTTTTCTTCGGGCGGAGGAGGAAATGGGGCGAGTCAAAGGGAGCGATTTCTACTCTCCCCAATCTTCCTCTGCCATAAAATCTAAGATGGCGGCTTCAACAGTACGAACATAAACAAGCAGCTTTCTCCCGCCCAAAATACGCCTGGCTACCTCCCCTCCTCCAAATCTCCAAATTCTGAGACATCAAGCCCAGCCTCTTTCGAGCCCCTTCTCATGACATTGATTAAGATTGGATAACTGAGACAAATCCAGACTGACGAGACAATTTGAACACACGACCTCGACTTCAATTTGGAATTTATTTGCACGAGTGTGTGTTTCAAAAAGTCTCAACATTGCATGAGGCCGTATTAGCCAGTCATGTGCAGTGCTCCGTTCTCTTACATAATTGCACTTTATGTAATTCCTACTTTTTGCATTCCGTTTCCTCATTTTTGCACTGTGTTTACTAACAAGTGCATTGCTCTCCTTCTATCAGATTCAAGGATTTTTTCATGTATATTAGGGAAAGTTCATTTAATATGACAAGGGGGGGGGATGAGGATATTGAAACTCGAAGCTTGAAATTTTAGCAGCCCCCCTCGCTAGCGGTTCAATTTTTTAGGAGCCCCCTCCTTGGTAGTCAAAAAAATTTCAGAGCCCCCCCGCCTTCAATTCCTTTGTTCCCCTGAAAAAAGATCGCTAGACGGTATTAAATATATTTACCGTTATTGTCTTCAATGGTTTATACTATGACAAACTTGAGATACAGTTGTGATACAATTCTCTAAAGCATTTTTGGGATGAACAAGAGTGTAATAATTACTGAGACTACATTTGTTATATCTGTAAACCGCGTGATATAGCTGAGTTGCACAGGTCATTAAATTGTTGAGTTGAAAACCATCCGATCTGTATGATGATGTCATGTGTTGGTTTTGAAGTATACAAATTTTCGGAGCCCCCCCTCCTAGCGCAACAATTTTTTCAGAGCTCCCCCTTTGGGTGTCTAAAAATTTTCGGAGCCCCCCCTCAATATCTTCATCCCCCCCCTTGTCATATTAAATGAACTTTCCCTTATCACTTATATGTTACTACACTTTTAGTTTTCACCCTCATAAAATGTTGTGTCTTGAAGAAGGGACCTTAAATCAGTTGCAAAGAGGATCTGCACTTTTTTTCGTTGTGTGACTCATTCACGTTGTTTAGAGGGTAAATCGTTTCGCCTTGTCTAACGAAGATTGCACCTTCGGATAATTTCTTTTTTCGTTGGTGCGCTCGGAGAAGCAACAGAGAAACGTATACAGACCAAGATGTTAGGGTCAAAACCTAACAACTTGTTCAGCCCCATTTCTTTTCGGCACTAATCTTCCTTATCTACCTCTCCGCGACTTTTTTTTCTTCTTCAAAATCTTGTCCTCCGTCGTAAGCAAATTCGAAGTATTAGAAATGCGCGCATAAACCAAATTCCACGCTTACAGTCACGTTACAAATACTGCCGAACAGTTGTAGTATGACGTTGGAAAAACCTCGGGCGGTTTACTGGGGTACGTTCACGGGGGAGTTCACTTCACTTACAGTGAAAGGTAAAACTTTGTACAGAAACCGATCGATCTAAAGTTAACTGATTGCATGCGGATAAAAACTTACTTTGTTGAAATCCTAATAAAAGCTAACTTTGTTGAAACACTGGCCAATGAACTAAGAACAAACTAAAAGCCATATGTGCCTCTTACAAGAAAAGCGATTTTTCAGCCGGCCGTTTTACAATGATATTAAATTTCCCGTTCAGAACCACAAACATGGACAATTAAAAAGTGTAACAAATTTAACATAATGTTCATTGCATTTAAATTGAAAAAGTCGTGGTCTCAGTGTTCGTTGTTTATCAATGAATCGTTTCATTTCTTTTCCATTCCTCTCCTTTTTCTCCCTTCCAATTTCTTTTTGGTAAACGAAATTCCGGCGTTGAGAATGTTACGTCGGACTATATATACATATGTTTTTACTATAATTGCCTGATATCTAAAACCAACTAGTGAAAGACCTTTTTGGCTTAAACAGCTACAGTCCACTTTCTCTTGATGGACACCTCTTTAAGACGGACTCTTCGGTGAAACGGAGACCTACAGCCTTGGTTTCTGCCTTAACTCTCTATAAGACGGACATCCCTCTTAGACGGAAGACGAGATAACAACAACCTCAACCAGGTTATGGTGTCATGCGGTTTCAGTGAAAACAAGGGTTTGGGTGGGGTCAGTGCTCAGTCTGGTTGGCTCATAAAACCTGGTGTCGGTGGTTCCTCTTACACGGACAATTATTGCCGGTCCAAAGAGAATGTTACGCCCGCTAAATACACGTTTTTTTCTTCTGATCTTCAAACTTCTCAGTCCACGGAGAGGATTTCTTGTCCACCTTGCATCTTTAGCTTAAATCCGTGAACTTGTATTCAAGTTCATTTTGATGAATTTACAGATATTATTGAGCGACTAAGGAACTGCCGAAGACTTTCACGTGAACCTCACCTTCACAGAAATTGAAGGGCAATAATTTAGCCTGATTTTGTGGTCGTAACGTAACTCTTTGATCACTAGCTTATACTCTTTATGTCGATAACTTTGTGAGTTAACGTCAAATACTTCGCACTTAAAATTATAAGTTTTATTTTGAGTACCTTAATCCACTTTAAAAAGTGTTCTTAGATGGTTTAAGTTAAGACCATGGGAATATAAATAACGCGCGTTTTATAAGTAAATGATTAATAGGTTCCGGCCTTTAAGACGAAGAGAAAACACGTTGTAACGTACTCAAGGGTTAACAGTTTCCATGCGTGAAGACAAAGGCTTTTATCAATTTGGAAGTCTTAAGCACTTGTGGCGTGGTAATTAAGAACATTGTTATAAACTTAAATGATTAATATCGCAAATTGACTTAAAAATTGTTGACCTCATATGAGCTTTGTGAATTTTATTCCTTGAATTTCTAAGGTATCTATGACAAACAACTACTTATCTCTTGCAATGAGGTGAGTTTTGTACGTCAGCTCATTATGTTTTACGTGGGAAACGATGATGTGATCGTGTGATTGCAAGCATTTTGCGTCATCAACGTCATTAACTAGTGTGTACAAACATCAAGCGCAAAATATGGCACTTTCAGCAAATATCGCTTCATTCAGTTCGTTCACTGAATGTTTTACGTTGTGTACATTTTTGGAGAAATGACCTGTAAAATTGTTAAAGAATGCCTTTACTGTCAAACTTCCGTGAAATGTTTTAAGAATGCATGACGGGACAGGGTTTTCCCAAACTTATTAAAAAAAGCAAGAATCTGGCGCCCAGTTAAATATCGGTGATTGAAAAGTGACGTCGCGAAGTCTTGAATTTGTAGATATCGTAGTTTTCTAAGTAGATAATTTAGTTACTTTCTAATAAATCCATTTACACTACGAAAAAAACTCTTCAAAGGTAAAATTATCCTTTAAGTGAGGATCATATAATATCTTAGAGCCAATTTGATCAATTCCCCAAATTACAAAGTTTCGGAAACTATTTCACAAAATTGATAGGATTTTTGTGAACTCTTGGGCAAAAAAAAGCAGAAATAAGAAAGAATCACCTCTTGAATAAAATCAAATAAACTATTACTTAGGCATTGGGTTGTTTTAAGTTCTTGTTTTTCATGCAATCAGCTTTGGTTTAGACGCCTAAAAAAATGGATGGAAGAGGCACTTTACTTTCCGTTCGAGGAATCAAGTCATGCAGTTTGTTGATTACGTCTACATCAGTGCGACTTTGATTTGGGATAAAAAAAGAAAAAACAGAAAACTGAGTGACCAATACATTGTAATAGTTTCCTTCAGACTACGCTCATGATGAAGAAAGCGGTTTCACAGCTGTTTTAACTCTCCAGAATTACTGCACATTTAAAGTACAATTGGTACACGGCGTTTTACGCTATACGTTTAGTTTATGAAACAATATTCATGTCTTAGCCTTTGAAAAGTCACCCGCCCGCACAAGTTAATTGAGAAGTCGGCTTCAACGGAGACCATTGCAGGGCTAAATGGCACAGCAAAGTCATGGAGCTAATTCAGTTACTAGTTAATTCAGACTCAGCTAGTATATATGTTATCAATATGCGGCTCTTTCATAAGCAAGCAAGACAATTACGAGTACCTAGACCGATAACTCACTCAAAAGCGCCTGTTAATTTTGAGGTCCACAATTAAAAAAACACTCTCACAATAACTCACTGCAGAATGACACCTTATGTGACCCTTGTGAGAACTGAAGACGCTACATCAATTAAAAGGACGAAAAACGTAACATTGATACAGAAAACTTTTTTGTTTTGATTTACAGAATTTCATTTCCAGGGATTTCATCAGTGCCCCCAACCATGTATGTTTAGAGAAACCCACGGATTGGCTAAAACACTCTGTTGTACGTATTTCACAAAAACCTTCTTTGTTAACCTATACGCTCCTAGAGTCAATTATACAGACATGAACTGTAATTCTAACTTTTACGTCTGCAGAGGAAATCATAATGTGTGGCCATACATTATGGCAGCTTTTTGGCAGTTCTTTCACATCTTTCCACACGGTATCAATTTTTTTTTTCTGTGTTTTACAAATTCAGTTTTTTTTTGTAATTTTGGGGCCAGGTGAAAGAAAGAGTTTTGCGATTAATCACTAAGTTGATATTTTAGGACCATTTAGCAGAATATTGTCTGGACCTCCAGAAACGAGAAATGACGTCGCCTTTCCGAAACTAGTCTTAGCTTTGTCTATATCCTGCTCAAAATAATATCATTCCTGCGCAAACCAAAGGGCGTAATAACTTAAAATACTGTAGGAGACCGAAGCCTTTGGAATGACACAGCCGACCAGACCTATTCGGGAATAACCTCAGTGCTATAGCCGATTTCATCTCTACGATGTACGCGCAAATGTTAAAAACTCACATTCTCCTTTTGGATGTTTAGGAGGTTTTTCAGTATTATGAGCACGGCATTTCAATTACGACGGCCTTTATAACCTTTTAAAACCTCAAATCTACCAAAGCTATGTTATAATACCAGTCAACCATATGTTTTAAAGACAAAGTTGGTCGGCTGTCATGCATATGTTTCTTCTTTAATACAAAGCTAATGTTTTTACATTTTAAATATTTTAATTCCTTGAAGCTTGTGCATAATGTTGAAAGACGAAAGAAGAGAAACTACAAGACTTTTTTTTTTAAAACAAAAGGGTCTGCAGTAGTCTTGCCAAGGAAATAGTTGCGGCCTAAAATCCCCCAAAAGAATGCATTCTATTTACCAACCACCTAGTACTGACTTTAACATAAACTCCAGCAACTTCCTTCTCGATCAAACCCCGATTCCAAATTAAACCGCATTGACCCCGCCTAGAATAGTTTGGTTTTAAATTTCGGCCGAGGTGAAGTCGTTATGTATATCATGTAATGAAAAGAGCCTTAATTCTATAGCATTTTTGTTGATCGGTTTTCTTAGTTCCCGCAAAATCGGGCCATGAGGAACTCTGTCCTTGGCACCTTGTTAACAATTTCAGTATTTTGTCGTTGAAAAATCACTACTTGATTCGTGCTTTCAGCTAGCCTATAATGAAAACTAATGACTTTTTGATGATTTAATTTAATTAAGGACATTTCTGGGTACTTTTGGTTCTAATTAAGAGCTTTTAGTTTTTCTAATTACAACGGTTAGAACACAACCTTGATGGCACCGCAACCTAAAACTTCGGTTTTTCAGTGAATTAGTTTCTATTCTTAGAATGTCTCAAAAACAAAAGTATTAAGTGCAAACTCGATACAAGCAAGGTGGCAACTGCTGAAGCTAGAAGGTCATGTGAGCAATATTGACCAGTTCAACATTCCACATTTCGTTTATGTCCTGTTGACTGCATCAGGCGAACGGATACTCACACCAATTTATGGTTGCGCATCTGTTCCGTTCTGTGACCGTCTCACAATAACACTCGACACTTGCTGACCAAATCTCTCAGGGCAATCGACATATCCAGAGTTAGAAATAAGGCTCTCAAGAGAACACCTTTTTCAAGTGCCTGGTATGTTTTTACTTCAGTTTTATCAGTGTAGGTACTTAGTAGAGCAAAACACTAAACTTGTATTTTAAACTAATATTTGCGTGCATATTGCGATTTAAGACTAAAATGATTTGTTAATCATATCTTCTATGAGTTACTTGGCCTTCTTTAAATGTAGAGCCCATATTGACCTTATTGTATAAAGCCTTCTGGAACACAATCCAGCCCACGTTCCTAATACCGTAAAGAATTTGATATTCACTTAAGATATTTTGAACGCAGAAAGACACTGTGTCGGCTACAAATATAAATTAAAATAAGGTCAAAACGGCAATTACGTTTTCGATAACAGTTCTTCGGGAATAGGAGCGATTGGTTATGTTACTTGCAAGGTGTCGCTGGGCTTAGGTTATTTTCACCGCTCTCGTAGCATAAAAAATTGCATCAAGAACTTAATTGAATCAATGCGACACATCTTCATTAGTTTGATAACTTAAAAATTATGTGTAAGGGTAGTTTATGATATTGGTGATAAATCAACCGACCAGTTAAACAATTGGCACGAACCTATTTGGGTCCTTGGCCTCAAAGTGATGGGGCAATTACCTTTATTTACAAACATCAATTAACATGATTAAGCTGTTTACTTTCGAGTCCAAAGAGAGTTCTCTCTTTCTTACAAGTTTGTTGACAATTTCATGAGTGTTCCACGAATTTAGTCACCTCTTTTAAGGTAAAAAATCACTTGTGAAGCCGAAAGCTAAACTTCTATTAAGCACGCGTGCGGGTAAGGAGCTCATCTCAGATCATAGCGCACACTTGCTAGCTCCCTGTAGGAGCTTATTTAGAGAGCTCTTTAAGGTTTGTTGACAATTTCTTGTGTTTTCCTTTATTTATTTCTATATTTTCTACTTGTGAATACGTTAAACGTCTTTCCGGGCTAAGAAGTATTCAACTGCTTAAAAGTATTTATCCTCGAGTGAGTCGCGCACGATGGCACCATTATTTCCCGGCACTGTATCGCCACATAGTCAAGGCTAAAATTGTTTTCACTTACTGCCTTTTGTCGCCTGACGGGGTTTAATTTCAGTATTTTTCACTCAGTGATTTCTTGCACAAAACAAGATAATCTGCCAATGACGAAATCTCTCCTAGTTATTCATTGGCCTTTTAGTATAGCGCCTTGCCAAAACCGCTAAGGAAAAATCTGTAATCGTTTAAGGACATTATTGTATACCCTACAGCGGGTTTAGGTTTCGTCGTCTTCTCGCACTTTTGAACATATCTCCTAAGTCAACATATGTTATACATCCCGCAGCAGGTAGGTAAAGACTCACAATTGTGCGCCAAAGAGTCTCACTTTGAAATCGGATGTCCTCTGCGGGGCATCGGCAATAGGCTTGTCAGAGCTGATCCACTTTCAAGTCAGTTTATGACGCCAACACTACAGACTAATTCGGTAAAGATGTGCTTTTTACAGAGTAATCTCTTTCAACTGAAATTGCAACTATTGCCGGTCTGTACATACAGCCAATGCTGACCTTCACTTAAGCCTGACCAAGGTCCACACTTCATCGCCATTTTAACCCTTCGACCAGGAAGTACAATGTCATGCACAAAATCACGAGTTTTCATTAATGGTCTCTCTAATATCAAGCATGACTAGAAAAAAATGATTCACCATTAACTTGTCAACAATGAAGCCAATGTTTGCTGTTGGCGGATTATACTGTGTTGTTTCAATTTCGTCTTTCGGGAGCCGTGCTAAGCCTAGATGAAAATTGGGCGGAAACAGGGCCCAAAACTAACATGCTGCCAGTGTAGTATAAACACTTTCTTAGCCTTTAACGCCTTAACGCCTGGGCAAATCTGTTGTTTTAATCTCGTCTAATATGACTTCATATTCACCCGCGCAGTTAACCAATATTCCACATGCAAACAAGACTTTGAGAGACTTTAAATTAGTTTTCAATATGAATGGACTTGAAAAATATCAGCTGGCTAGGACATGAAATAGCGTTTTTAATGAACCTCTTGAAAAACTTAACCGGACTTTTTAAAATGCTTTGAAGCACCTTCCTCGCTTTATAAAAGTAGCTAATTAGGGCATTTACAAGAATTCATCCGGCCATTTAACGCGTGGTCTGTTGTCACAGAGAATAGAAAAGTTATGTCATAAATCAATCTTTTCTTTTAAGTGCTTTTCTATTTAGACTTGTAGGCGCTGCGCTTTGCCCGCAGAGAATACAAGGGAATTGGTTCTCACTAACTGTCTAATAATAGAATAACAGCAAAGAACCAACGAGGTCTCCAACGCATATTAGTTCATTTTGCAAAGCGTTTCAGAATTTAACGTCATATTGTGAAGAGACATCAACGTGTCGTTTGGAACAAAGAGAGCTCCAAAGAGAGGTTAATTGTTTTTTAACCTATATTTCCGTTTATTGTTAAGTGAAACCGAAACCATGGGTATGCGAAATAGAAAATTCAAGAAATGCGTTTGTCTTCTTTGGGGCCCACACTTCATTGGGGGTTGTGATGGAATCAAGAGTTGACCTTTATTGATTGAAGATTACAAATCCTCTTTTTAGCCAAGAAATACTTACTAGCAGAGAAGTACTTGATCAGTCTAGCTTTGCAGGCTATAGAGGAATCATCAGATTATCCGCGCACAGCCCAGTCAATTCCAGAAAACTACAGTAACGACAATACTAAATCTTTGAGGGAGTCAAGGCCATCGTCAAAGGTAAACTTTGAACATTATGTGTAATGTGTTCCACTTAAAACGTCACTATTTTCCGCTGATGTAGCACGCAACGGTGTGTTGGGCCTTATGATTCTTTGAGAGGTTTCTTACGCCATAGGATAATAGTATAAACGCTGTGCGGATTAGTCGGCAGATATTGAGTACGTGAGATGTGAAAAACAGAAATCTGCGGATTAGAGAGTACTGAAAAAATATTGTCGCAACTTATCTTGTGAAATAGCATCTTTGGGGCGCGAATGCAAGTGTTGAAAAGTACTTAATAAAGAAGGCCGTGACTTTGTTACGATAACAGATCAAGGCCCGCATGATGCCGGGAAACTGTAGCTTCAAAGAGGGTAAATGCATGCGACAGACGGCATTAAGTCTTATTAATTTTTATTATTGTAATAATGATGATAAACAAGGCAAATACGACAGCGACATAACAAAAACAGAATTAAACTGATATCTAGAGTATGCCCTTTTTTGTACTTGTAATTTGTACAAAACCACAAGAGGGAGGGGGTGGATGAAGTTAAGAAGGGGAGACACGGTCATAATCCCAAATGACACAACTTTATTCCCACGGCAGTCGCTGTCTACATTTTCAGCAAGATAAGTCGAAAGGAGAAGGATCGTATATGAACAAAAAAGCATAAAATCTATATATTGCTTTCTGCAGGAAAGACACCGACATTTTGACAGCCGATCACGATACACTGACTGTGAGGTAAGATTCAAAGTAAAAAAAAAAGTCTTATCTCAGTGTTCTTTCCGCTGGGAAAAGTATAGTTGTTTTTTACAGTATTGTGATTCTAAATACACTGAATAGTTAAGGATCGGAACTGACGTTTTCGGCATATAGAATATTGATATTGATCTACATGGAATTTCATTGACAAAGACTCTAATGTCTGATGTAATACATGAGCTATGTGTCTATCAGAAGGCAAGAATAACAGCTACTTTTTTTATATTTTGCGAGGAGGCTCTTGAATCGAACTTCCGTTTACGTAGTACATGTATTCTTAAAGCTCTTGCGTCCACCGCTGAAACAAAAGCTTCTTACTAGTACTGTATCTTCAATACGTATATTTTTTTAACTAACAACTTTTGTAAAATGAAAATCTCGCAAGTTTTTGACTGTTTGATGTTTGGCCAAAAATGCAAGTTGGTAAATTTTGGATACGCGTGCCTGCACGTCTTGTACTGGGAAAGGTACCTCAACACTTTTGTCAAAATGATGAAACTTGATATGTTTGCGTTCAGCCGAAATGCGAAATTGAGTGTTGCCTTTTAAATAGGTCATTTGAAGAGAAGAGTGATCTTTTTTAATGATCGGGAAGGTTGAACATGGTATCATTTCACGTGATTCACTCGTATGGAACTAGGAAAACGGACTGCATCTATATGTAACACGCAAAAATCTCCGCCGCTATACAATCTGAGCCAGACGTAATCTCAAACAGCGCTTTTTAAGCACTTTTATTGTAGTTTACATTAATTTTCCTCTACGTGTAACACGATTAAGAGGTAACCAGAAATGGAATGCATGACCTTGACATGAACAAAGACAAAGCTACTGTTCCTGTAAAACATGATTGTCTAGCAGCAAAGTACGCGGGAGCCATTTTTTTCAGTAATATATTTTAATTCCTTGCGTCCGAATTGCCAAGCATTTGCGAGGGATTATCTTTTTAAATTTATTGACAAAAACCTAATCAGATGTAAACCGAATATAAAGTCTATCCGATTATCTCAACGTCAGCTTCTCGTAGGTCTCTGAGCCGGCCAGTTTACTAGTTACAGAAAGAATGGAGTTTTTTAGCTTACGTCATTGTTGTGAGCTGAAAGATTATAATAGATTCGAATCAGCGTTGATGACCACTCAAAGACAAGGCTTTTAGGATATTATAAGGTTCCTATTTTGGCAAGAAGAAACGAGAGTCGCGTCCTCCGAGAGTTTTCTCAACTCATGCTAGTAACACGCTAAGGTTGTCCAAATTTCAAACTGTGCGTTATCAGAACCGTTGTTTCTGAAAATTAAAGTGTCAAGTTTTTAATTGCAAGTACCCATATTTTCAGTGATATTGGGACAAAGAAAAAACACAAAACGAAACTCAAAACAGCTTATCTTGCATACATAAACATTAATTAAGGCTCTTTTCTCTGTCCATATTGCCCCGCTTAACGTTGTAATTCGTAAATTCATAAGACATCACGGCCATGCCTGACTTGGAGCCCATATTTTTGTAGCGATGTTGTTAGTTCTTAAATGAACCAAAAATAGGATATCTCTCTCTCTCTCTCAACGTCATGAATTGTAGAATGACAGCTTTAATTTCATTTGAATAACTGAATTGAAAAGTAAAGGCCACACCTAATCACAAGAATGCTGCGTTTTTTCGAGGATTATGAAAAAAATATATTTATAACAAGTATGACTCAGTAATCTCATCCAGACATTATCTCAGCAAAAAAGCCAGACATCGGAAGCATCTTTCTGTTACTGATAAGATTTACAGATGATTTAGCGTAATTTCTGTCAGTGATTTAAGGAATATGATTTTGAAATTAAGTCCGCCGTTGAATTAACTTCACATCGGAAACGCTAAGAATTTTATAAAGACGTACAGTAAGGCTGTTCAGCTTCTCATAAACTGTAGAATTGTAGAATTGCTGAAGAGCGAAACGTTTGAAGACTCCTATATTAAGATAGCTCGTGTGATCGTCTAGTTGTTTGTTTTCAAAAGCGCAATCATATACGTTTATTGCAATGGATAAGATTCATCTCTCCCCCAGGAAGTCGTTGAAATCACTGGAAATCAATTTCTTCCCTCCCATAGAGCGTCTATTTCAGGGTACAATCGATGACAAAATTTGTTGAGACACTTTGCTCTCAATGACATTCCTAACCTCTTAGTGATGGCATTATCTTCTTGTAAAGGGAAAAACGGAAGCTTTTCCTCCGCCACCTCCGATAAACATTGTTGTCTGGCTTTTTCAAGTTTGTGTAAGAAGCAACAAACAAACCACCGAAGAAGCAAAAGCGTTTTTGAGTGACGCACGTCAGTTATATGTATTATAAAGAGTCAGCATCTTTGCAGATTTATTGAAACGAAAGAAAGCGTTTACATAAGAAAATAGTAAGAATATTTCTCCGCCATTTTATGCGATTTCAACCCTAGGAACAGTGGGAACACAGAAAAAGAAGGGTTTTTTTAACCAAATATATGTACATTCCTTATACCCATCCCCCCGGACCTATCCTCGTGGTGTTTATTGCCTGAACGTTCTCACCACTGGAAATTCTCATTTGACGTGATGGGCTCCTGAATTTGAAGATTAGCTTAGGGTTTTGTCGGTTTATATACATCCGCTAATCTACCTGGGTGAGGATCACATGAGTAATTGCGGTACCGGCCCGGAGCAAGCAGCTTCTACGTACTTGCCTTGAGACGTCATACCGACTGGTCTATTTTTAGAACAATTTTGGCGCGAGTTTAGAAAACTAGTCAGCATAATCTTAAACCTGAAAATGGAATTTTTATCTTTTAGTGACGTTTAGTTTTAGCGGGAAAAGTTTCTCTAAAATGTATGTAAAAATTAAATTGGTCCATGAAAACACTTTGACAGAGGCCAAGCATGAGGCATGTTGCCCTCTGTGGGTTATGGTCTCCCTTTGCGGTTTAATTAGCACGAACAGTGCATCTAAACGTGTGCGTTTAAATAATCAAATTAAAGGTTTTAGAATTACGAAATAACGCGCGAATGTTAACCGGTCCCTGTCTCTTTCTGATACATAACATGGTTACAAGTGCAACCGGCTCGGCATAAATAAGCATCTCTTAACTCTGAAGAAGGGTAATACTTAGCCAATTTCGCAAACGGCAGGTTAAAAAGTAAACAAAAACAAGAAGTTAAAACGAGATCGGATCGTTCTGTTTTGCGCCGTAGTTATATTCTTCTTTGTCATTGCATCAATTTTAAACATTGACCAATATTCAATTTTTGCATTTTACACGATGATATGATCACACGTAAATTTCAGGAGAAGAAAGAGAATGATCTCTTAACATAGGTTTCCTCCATTGGAAACAAATTGTTTTCATAAATATGTAGCATTATGAGAAATATCTGAAGTATGTCGAAACCGGTGCTGAGAAAACGCTCATAGAGTTCCTTGTTCGCTTCCGTAACAGTAGCAACAACACTGAGTTTAGAACACACCAAAGTATTTAAACTGATATTCATTTTTGAGGTCGAACAGGCTTACCAAAAGGATTGATTGAACAAGTCTTCAAAATTATCTAAGCGTGAATCGGCTTGACTAGTTTGCATCGTCACCATTCGTAAGTAGAACAGCTGAACACTGATCATTAACAGCATTAACATATCAGACACACGGCTTGAGTAGTCCTAACTTGTCAGTGACTTGCAATTGCGTCACGGTATGCATCGATAGGCAAAAAAGGGCCGGAAACATCTACTTATCACTCAAAAATGGCTTCTGTCTTAGCAAAAGTACCAAGAAATCACTTGGGAAAATTTCATCAAATAAGTGGCTCCATTCGAAAGCCGCTTTTCTCAGATGAGTTTTGCGTTGAACATCGAAGGATTCACCGACAAGGTCAGGTTGGTTAAACCACTGTTACAGTACTGTAGCCATGTAAAATAACATAAAAACAAACGATGACGCTTTTGCGAGGGTAAAGGAGTATTTTATGTTAGAAAGCATAAGTTTGAAATTTCAACCCGCGCTTTCTTTTACCTTTTACCTTGGCATCTATCGTAATCATAACGAACTGATCGAGGCCCAGAACGAAAAATGATAATCGGCTTTTGGACGAAGCCAGTCGTCATTCTATCAAGACCTATTAACGTGTATTCATTTTGTCGTTGTCTGGCGATGTGATGTTTTTGTCGTGACTTAGTTTCATAAATGATTCAACCTTTTATTCACGAAGGGAGGGGTAGGTGGGGTTAATGAGAAAGAGGTAGCTTTTATTTGGGGAGGGGGGGAGAAAAATTTTTTGCTCTCCGTGTTCATATCTGTCTGCACGTTACTAGTTCTATTTATGCTCCAACTCCGCTCCATTTCTATTTTCCACCAAAAAGGAAATCGGCTTTTCGCGCTTTTTTTCTCTCAAGCTCGTCTGGTAGCCTTTCTGCTTTTCTTAATCGCTTTAATTGCCAAGTTATCTTTTAAAAAAATTGCTACAGTAGTTTTCACGCCCGGTTGTTTCCATGGTTACAGACTTTTAGTGAACTGCTTGGAATTTTTTTTTACTATATTTGCGACAAAATATTTGCCTCTGTCGTGTTGATTCACTGAGAAGCGCTGGTCAACAACTGAATTAGTTTCTGGGTTTAAGAATGAACACAAAGAGAACTTTCAGAAGCGAGGCATGTTGCATGTTGATCTATGTCAAAGATAAGGTATATATCTCGATTTGAAACAGTTTCAGCGTTGATAAGTCTTGGGTGACATTTACTGCAATCGGCACTACAGTAACGGCATAAATTGCAATTCAAAGAAGAAAATAACTACATCATTTCTATGAGTTTTGCTGGATCCCCAAATGAATATTGCCGTGGAATGTTTAACTTTTTCATTTTGCATTTATTGACTAAGATATGACTTTAATTTATGTACGTTGTCCAAACTTTTGAGTCTATGGATGAAATGCTAAAGTGTGGCTATTCATTGAAAGCTGCTGAGCATTACTTTAAACTGGCAATTTGAGGCAGCCTTGGCATTTCAACTCATAATTTAATTACCTTATCTTCATACAGTCGTTAAAAAGAAATAACTGTAAAGTTTTATAATCTGACAGTGGTTTTAATAACAGTACGAGGGATTTCAGAGCGGTTGAATTTTTCAGATACCAAAAAGGCTTCCAAATTTGTCGGTCCGACAAACGCCTAAGTTCAGGTCAGTCAGAAATTAACCATCTGGATTTTTTTCATCGTATGGTTTACCAAAACTAACTGTACTTTGTCTGTGAATTTTGCATCACTCAAGAGTTATATACGTTGAATACTTACCGGCAGCCGTCAAAGCTTAAAGGGCGGAAGTTGCCTTTCGACAGACCCGTAAAATCGTAGGCGGCGCACGCGAAACGCGGTTAGGCACGCGTTCAAAACCCAGAACACCTCATTACTGTTTGGTCCTAAACGTTGGCGTCAATGTTCATGTCATGGTTTACGCCCCTTGTTTCCTTTTTTTTCCACCGAAAGGTTAATAACCAATTGGTCTTTTTGAGAACGTCCTTGTTTTTCAGCGGAAAATATTTCAAGAGTGTGAATATTAAGGCAGTGGAACGATAGTAAGAGCTACAACAAAAAGTGACAATTTTAAGTCTAAGCCAGTAAGTACGTTTTATACGGTTTTATCAGTTGTTAAGTAGTGCAAAGCCCAATCAGTCTGATACGTATTGTCGACTGAGGTATTCATTTGTATGTCGTAATATTTGCATATTAAATGCGGTTAACAGTCATTCGAAGTGAAATGGAAAATCCAGAAAGCAAGTACAAATGGCCGAAAAATTTCCGGTCGAAATTCCAATACCTGACAAACAACGACAGAAATTCAATTGCCTAATCAACTATAAATCTCGCGTCTGGTTCATAAAGTTCCGCAATTCAAGTCTTTGTCAACGTTTCTATGGTTTATAATTTGATTGGGCGCGCGTAGATTAGCGAATTTGCACACTCAAGCTCTTGTTTGAGTAATCTAACAATAGTTTTAAGCATGCTCGTGACATAAATTGAAAGCTTTACAGAAAACGTCGTCAAAATAGGACATACTTCAGAAAGTATTCTAAAGACTATGAATCTAGCCGTAGATACAGAAGTCGACAATTTGTTACTCTTTATATCGTAGTTTCCCATCCGAAAGTTGCAAATTGAACTAAAATGGTGTAACTATAGTGGGATTTAGATACAGAAGAAGATAAGGAACAGACCAATTCTTACTTTATGACTTCATTTCTTAGTTGTATTTTCCTGCAACTTGGTTATCAGAATATAACTGTTTGCCGACGACCGCTAGATATTTCTCTTAGGCCCATGGTTATGTTATTGGCGGGTACTCTTTTTCGAGTCGAAGAATTTTCGGCTTAGCATCTCTCTGCTACGACGCCAAACTCCGCCAACTAATCTTTATGGCGTTTATCTCTCGCATAGTAGAGATAAAGTTTACTTTAAGCCGACAATGAAATATCATGTTGTGTGGGCGATAGGATAGAACTAGGCTTTTCTAACCCGTCTAAGAAAACTTTCCCGAATGGCGGACACTCCATTTACTTACAAAAAGAACACGTGATAGCCCAGTCTTAGGCTTTTGTTTGCTATTTTAGTATTGTCTGATCCTCGAAAGAAAAGGCTTTAAAATACTCTATTTCCTTCTTCATTTAAACTTTCAGAGACGATTACCCCTCGCGTCAACACTTGAGAAAATTTTTTTTGAAATCAAAAATCAACCATATCATTGGTCAGTTTCTGCGTAACACGTTGTCATTATTAGCCTGACTTCTTCCTAAGTCTTCCGGCGCCTTCAGTTCACAATGGAAGCAACTCTTTCAATTCTTAAGTATTCCTTTAAAGCACCAATATAAACATGCATATTTGCCGCACTTGTATCCTTGTATTTGTTATAGTACCGATTAGCAGAACCTGTTACAACATCAGATCAGTTGTCTTTGTAGAAGATCCATTCTCTTTGTTCTTGTGATGAAAGGTGTTGCGGAAAGAACTGAACAAGGTTTGACCACGAACACTTGAGAGCTTTAATCCTTCATTGCTAGAGTTTCTATAAATAAATTAAAACTGATGAAATTCCAAATTCCATTTTGTACTTGGTACTGAAAAAATAGATGGTACCATTTGAAAATACTGCCTTTGAGGTTCATTTGAAGGGTAACTCCATGAAATTTCGTTAGCTGGCTTTCAAGTTAGAACTGAACTCATTTTATGGACTCTGGGTTTTTAGAAAGTCAGAAATGTGCGAATTTCAATTTCTCTCAGTGACACATGATAGCGTAGATGCGTTTTGGTGCGTGACAAACAAATAAGATTGTTTTCTAATTTAATGTTGGTTCCGTGTTTTAAATTTTAAAAAGGAGCAGAAGCTGATCGCATCATAATTTCATCAAACTCTTTTACCCATTAAATTAATTACAACGAAACACGAGTAGATTTAGATCTTCTTGTGGTCACAAATAAACATAGACATTCTTTACATTGGTGTAATGTTCCTTAGGATGAAAAATCGGACCACGATGTTCTTCTGGACTTCGCATTTTTGATGCTCTTTTTTACTATTTTTCAAAATTTTATACAACGAAATATGGGAATTTTGTCTGGTTTGACATTTGATTAGGCAGGGAAAGCCTTAGTGCCTTATCTCTTTAGCAAGGCACCAATTTCTACGCTCCTGTAAACAATTACAGAAGTCGTTAAGATAAGGAAAGTAGGAATGCGCTCAGCGATAAAAGATCGCGAACATTTGCCTTTGCAGCGCTCGTCTATCGTGCATTATTGCTCAAGTCAGTCGGAATCTAGCTGCTAGGATTGGACAGTCGCGACTAGTGACCGATTAAGAAAAAAAAGCGGATTTTAACCCATAAACGCCAGGTCGCCTACTTGCAAAAGCTGAACGTCAGTGAATATTGATCTAAACAAACAGTGTCAATTACTCGTAATGGTCGGTGATATTTTTGTTTAAAAACGATTACTGAACTTGTCTCTCTATAGTGTGGCTGTAACACAATATCCGCTACAGGGATTTAGTTGGCGCTTGGATCCGCTTTGTAAGCCACTGTTCTAGACTGGCTCTATCAGTTGGATTGTAACAGGCAAAGAGTGTTGTGTAGCGACGTAAAGAACTTCAGTGCCAAGGAGCCAACTTCAGCAATGGAGGACAAGACAAGAGCTATGGTAGCAATTCTTCAGATTCTCTGCTTACTCGTTCGCCTCCAGGTAAGTGTGCTTCATTAGCGGTCAGTTACCTCTACAGTGAAATTTTGATGTTGTTTCCGGCCAAATGAAGTTTACACAGAAAACTTCTTTTTCAGTATTATTAATAAGCAAGTGACAGATCGCTATTGAACGTTGAAAATGTGTTTTATCTTCGCTGACACGGGACGACACATCCCTTTGTTTCATTTTCATTTTCACGCTGTGCGCAAAGGTGGCATTTTTGACACGCTGTGTTGTGTATGAAAACGCGAGAGTTTATGTTATTCCTGCGTTGCTTTTACGCAAAATAAACAAGCTATTAATTAACTAGATGGAGTTCAAACGCCAGCCCGCTCCACAGCTTCGTTTAATAGCAAATGACATAATGAAAGCTCAATTTGTATGGCACATTTAACCTTGCGTTAGAGAGTGAACTACTCGTGTTTACAGGAGTGAGTTCGCGTGTTTTCACCAGCGCTGTTGTGATCAGGATGGGGGCTTTTTAGACACCGCATGAACCAAGAAAACGCTTAATGGTGCTTTAAAGCCTACGAGACGGGTGAAAGAATTTTTTAATGACTCGAGAATTTTCAGTGGAGGGATTTCTAAAGTGTTTCGACGTAACTTGGCGTAACTCAGTTGGACAAGGTCACGAGGCCAGTTACCTATAGGGCGGTCTTTTATATTATTGTACATTCACTCACGCTTCAGTAAAGAACAAAATTAATTTTCCGCTTTTCAGCCAAAAACGTTAAGAACACTTTGCCCAATATCTGAACAACATCCTTTGCAAAGAATGACACTTGTTAGCTCTTGAGGCAATAACACTCGATCACCGAAAAACAAGATACGGTCATGGGCTTATGTGAGAGAAATCTATTGGCCGAATTATGTGACATAGTCTTACTGATCTTATTACGAAGGAATCACGGGGGTGCACGATTCGCCAGTTTTCTTTCAAACCTTTTAACACTTTAAAAAGAATCAGCTAGTCTAGCAATCTCTCCCACGACATACAAACTCTCAGGGGTTATGTTTATGTTTTCCCTTAGTAAAAGGACTTAGCCTAGCACTTGAGTCTCTTTTCATAAGTTGTCATACTTGATCATTCAAAAACGAACAAAACGTGCTTTTGTGCAGGTTAGTTTTTCGCTCTCGTGTTGGCGGTGAAGATCAAGAATTGTTCGTTAACTAATGGGAAAATTATTAGCCGGTCTGAGCTGATGTTAAGGGTTTGTAAATCCACTATGATAAAAAGCAGTGGGTCGGTAAGGTATCTTCGGAATTTTTCCCGCTATTAATAAATTGTTTATTTGCCCACATAACACCACAAGATAGATAGCCCTATGTTTGCAAAATTGTTCCGCTATTTCCTACACTTGGGGAACTTCCGTGGTTCAGTGACCCATTTTTACTTCGACAGACTGATAAGTCGTGCAATAACATCCGTATCTCCGTTTCATGTCGGTTTTATTTCTTGCATTGTGCATACATACACGAACGTGCAAACGCGCAGATATCCCCCAAGTCGGACGCCACAGTCAGTACGCTGATCAAGCTCACTTTTCGTTTTTTCTGAAGAGCTAATCGGCCCTGCAAATATTGAAAGAGAAAACGTCTGAATACCGACTTTGGTCTGCTCACATCTGCAGAAAGCGCCCACGTTTTGACCTGGGATACGCCGAAGACGATCATATCAGTTGACATGACAGCATATCGTGTAAAGACAGAATTAGCGTGTATTAAAATTACTATATTGAAAAGTGTTGAATTTAAGTCGCTGGCTTTTGTGTCCTTTCTCTTCTGAAGTATAAGCCTTTTTGCCTCTTCCAGTGCAACGAAGTTGATTAATCAAATGAATTTTGGGGCGGATTAATGCACAAGAGAAAAGAACCACTCGAAAAGTTTTATTCAGAAGTTTGTCCTCTCAAAGGATTTCTTCCGCAGACTCAAAAGATAGGATTCCCGGTCCCATCGCATGACGTAGGCTTGCAACTACGAAAGGAATTTAGTATACATGATTAAATTGCAAAGAAAAAAATTCTAGAGTCAATTTAACCCGTGCCCCGCTTTTGCCGATCTTCTTAATTGCATTATAAATATTTACTCGACTTTGTTTATTCATGGTATAATTTAATGTTTTTCCTTCTATTTTTACACTGTAATGTTACGATACGTGTCTCCATTCAGTCTTTTCTCTCATGGCGTGTGTGGCATGACGATGAGGAGTTTCTTTTAAATCGTATGCATATGTCTTTCGTCGCGGGAGAAAATGAAGTTTCCGTCTTTTTTGATCTTCCTTCGACCTCATTTTCGAGCTGAAAAATAGTTTCTTTCTCTTTGCTCAAGTTCCGGTTGTGCTATTGATAAAAAAACGTGTGTGTGCATGTTGTACTTTTATGACGCAATGTCTTCCATTAACCTCATTTGCGGCGAGACTCTTTGTTGCCTTTTTGTTATTAGCAAAAATAGCAGTTTTTCTCTTATGTAGGAGTGTACAGTGATCATCGTAGTAAATACACAATGTCCATGTTTGGAAAACAAGAGCCATAATGGGCTCTTATTGGAAAATCAATGCGGTTAGTCTTTCTTTAGTTTTGTCTGCGGTTGATCTACGCTATTGGCAAAAAATGAAGTAGCTCTCAAGTCTTCTAACGGGTGTACTAATTATAGATGTTTTCTTTGTGTAATCGGTTAAGGCATATAGTCAGTTTTCAAAAAAGAGCCGGCATTAAAAAAAAACTCAGTAAAAAATGAGCATTTTTTTCTGTATTATTGGACCAGTCTCCTCGTACTTTTTGAAGGCCATAATTCCGTCTTTTTCACTGTTAGTTTAGCCAGACCATTGTAGCTATGGATATGGCAATACGACGAAGATTTCCGTTACAAGATATCAAAATGATCTTAATTAAAGTAAATTTATTTGGCACGCTTAGAAAAAAAATCGCCCGAGTGGACTGAATTTTACCAAAGTATAAAATACAGAATCTTATAACCACGACTTTTATAAAGAAAATATAAGAAATTAACTGGACTACGCTATATACGTCTCGCTCGGAAGAATTTTTCCTTGAGATTAAAATTAGAGAATGCCGGTTCAGTTCCAAGGTTTTAAAACACAATTAATGCTTTAATTAAAATATTGGGTTTAATTATTTCGTCCGTCTAGTCTATGATGTATTAACCTGCAGTTTGAATACCAACAAGTTGAAAAGTCGATAAATTTAGTTCTTCAAACTGAGTCAATACCACAATTATTGCCAAAAAAAACCCCACAAATTCACTGGTCAATACTTGAAAACCAGGGAGCTAAACCGTTTAACACGGCACAAAAGTTGGCCAAGTCAAAGTAAAAAAACTGAAAAAATGCAATAATCATAGATAAATTTCGATAATTTTTTTAAAACAAATAGAAACGTATAAATATTTTGCTGAAGAGGTTTCATTTAAGTGGTAACACCAAATGAAGCTTAGAATCACCTTGTAACTACTCAGTAACTTTCATTTAAATGGTCACAACATACAAAAAGCGTTTTGTCTGTAAACTTAATCAAACGTTACTATTACACAACTTGCCCCCATATTCTAAAATCCCTTGCAAGCGAATCTTCAGAAAACATGAATTGATGGTTTTTTTTCAACAATATAAAATAATTCAATTATTTCTTTCACAAGTAGGTAAAAGAATTAGACTTTTAATTCCTTTTACACGAGCTGTTAATTGTAAACCTTTTATGTCTAGAATGGTTACAATTAGAAGAAAAGGCTCCTTAATTTGACTCTAGTCTTGCTGACGATATCTTAAGTTTTAAGTCAGTTTCGGCCAGATGAGGGCTATGAGTGATAAAGGCAATCAAGAACGTGAAATCATCCCTTGAGATAATGAAGTTAAACCTAAAGTAACCGTCCAATGGGTTGGAACAGGCTGTACTTTGCTTGAAACTTTTTGAGGTAAACAATTACGCGGTTAAAATCATTCAAAGGAATTCATGATCACTTCGAGAATCTTCGACGCTCTGGTCACGAATACTATAGAATTACCTCTTTTGATCGCCGCTAAACTTTCTAATCCTCATACGATTTCGACTTTGTTTTCTTAGCCGAGGCACACTTGTCCCCCCGGAAATTTAGGCAAATCCACTCCGGAAAATCCAGTCCCTTTTTTGAGCCTGAGGCATGGATATTTTCTTTAACCGACGCATTGTATGTTAGTAATTGCCCAGAGCACATACTAGAAACCAAACCATTTTTCATGTAGACACATGCTTCATTTGTTAGGCTGAATTGGTTCTTGTCTATGACGTACTTTATTGGCCAAAAATCACCGAGCTATATAATCCGCTCCGTTTCTTTTATGCGGGTGTTTACTTAATTTCAATGTTGATAGTTGAATATATCAAATGAATGAGATCTACGCGAGCTGAGAGTCCCAACGCGATTTACGCAATCAACTTAACCAAGCTTTTATTCTTGTACATGTCCAGCCGTAAAAAGAGTACACATACTGCCTTATACTGAAATAGTCATGTATCTTTTATCAGTCTCCTACCCTTCTACCAAACCCACTCTTTAGAAGGCCACTGAGCCCCTGGTCAAGTTTTGTTTTGTTTTGCTTTTTTCTTTTACATGTTCCGAAAGGATCACGTCAAATACTTACTGAGTTCAATCTTCCTAATCATAATCACACTATTCTTTGTCTCTACAACGGTCAGGTTTCTTCTCCTACTCGCCTACAGTGTCGCCTAATTCAATCGCTCGGCGTTCTGACGCCGCCTCAGCTTAAACAAAATGAAAACCGAGATATATTTCTATTTCTAGTGAGAATTGTATCTGAAGGGACGATCTCTGACGATTACTGTCTGCCATTTGTCTGTTTCTAATTCTGTTCAACAGTTAACTCTTGAACTCTTGCTTGAAGTCAATACATAGTACATTTTATAGAATTCTCTCAACCAGTTCTTTAAGGAAAAGTACGGAGACCAGTTCGGAGAATTTGTATGTGGATATATCACCCTTTTTAGATGTTTCGATTGTAAAAAGCGAGCTTTCTCTTATTTCGTCAAGGCTATTTTTAAGCCCCTGAAACTAAGTCAAGTGAAGGTAAAATTATAGAGTGAAAACTGAGCAATCAAAAGTTTAACAAGTCAAGTTTTTGAAACCTCTTTGGATACTAATAAACCATCTCTACTGGTAACAATTATCTCCGTATATTCTCTAAAAAAAATCATTTCCATTTTTATTAGCTGAGGTTATGTGAGAAGTACGTCACAATTTCACAAAAAGGGTGAGCTATCGTTTGTTTGTTTTTTAGAACTAGTCACCCATTTCATCCATTTAAAAACTCATCTACTCGCATTCCTAAAATTGACATTCAACACATACATGATGTTTTGAAAGCCCCACAACTAGTATTTCCCTTCAGCATAAGCCAACAAAAAAAGTAGACGCACGACAGGGACAAGATTTAAATACATAATGTATTTAGCATGTTTGCATATACGAAACGTCTGTCGAGAATTGTCTATTGGTTGGAGAAATTTGAGCTGTTCATTAGGAACAAAGTAGGTAACTGTATTTGTCTGTTTTGATAGTCTCCACCTGTTTTAGGTAAAGCTTAAGACGGGACACAGTTTAAATTATTTTATGTGATGTGTTCTTGGTTACATCGTTGTTGACGAAGGTCGTCTCGGATGGAAGAATTGTGGTTTTTACAGAGGCGCCAATCACGGCATGTTTTAGCATCCGACTATCTACAATGACGACGTACTTCTGTTGTTTTCTATATCAAATGAGGACCCCTATAGGAGACAGAGTGATGGCTAATACTCTTCAATCGTGTGTGGAACCTATAATTAAATAATCCAGCAGCACAAATGTTTAGGGAAAACTTTTTCCCCCAAATTTGCAATCGTCAATACCAGCCAACGCCCTTGTAAAGTGATAGAGACGTTCATAATATTGTCCCCAAGAATAAACGTCGTTATAAGAATTGGGAACAACATCCTACCAAAGAGACACTTCGATTTATGCAGTTAATTTCAAAGGAGACTCGAATGTGTCGATCAAAATCATCGTCTGAAAATGATTAAAGATTTCGCCAGTTTTCTCAGATTTCCCTCACATTAAGGATTTTGCCAAGCGATTTATTGTGAAGGCAAAATAAAAAGATGTTTTCAACTTCTAGACAGTTCACTTGTTATGAAAAGATGATTTAGTTTATCTAGTCTCCTTCTTAGTTGAAATAGTGTCGGCTCAAAATGTTTACTATTGCTACGATAACAGTAGTCTGTGTTTCGCTGTGGAGATAACTTCATGAATGTTTCGGGAAACACTGCCGGCCAAACATACATTCACAGAAATCAATTTCTTTTCTTTTTAATGGCGAGAAATTAACGCCCCAATGAAGGTCTAAAAATTCCTGTTAACACTTTACTTAGCAAGGGAAAAGATTGTTATTTTGAGGATGAAATCAAGTTTGATCTGATTAACTTTCGTAGGTATGAAATAAAACTATGATCTGCCGGCTTCACTTGTGTTTTACAGACCTCGAAAAACAGAGCACACTGCCGCGTGTGTGAAATCAGTGGGGAATTTGTAACGGAAAAGTAAGCCCGCCAACTGAAAAACAGTTATATACTGATTAAAGTTTTTTTTACAAATTCAAAGTCTGCAACGGTCGGCAGTTCTGCTTACTAGTAACTGCTATCGACTAAATACAGTATTCAAGAAATAATTGTAACCATATGCAATTTATGATTTATTTTGATAGAGAAAAACATATACACACTGGATTAAAGGGTGATTCGGTTTGTGATAATAGATTAGGATCAACTGGATTGCAATTCTGCTTGTCTTAGCAAAGATTAACCTGCAACGAAGACTTTCTTTGCATGCGACCTCCCTTATTCTTGACCTATTCTTGCATTTTAGATATATTGTGTTCGTTTATTTTGCGTTATTTATAGCGGTTTTTGTTTATTTTTTCCGGCCTTTCATGTTTGATTCTGATATGATGTATACTTAAATTTCTTCCGAATGGAATTACCTTATCGCATATCTCAATGTTGTCTATTGCTCTTAAACGAGAACGAAAATATCTTTAGTTAGATAAAAACACGTTCCTAGAATTGTTAATATGTCATAAAACTCACAAAGAATATACCCAGATTTATTTTATGAAAATAGTGTACCAAAAAATGCATGAAATAATGCCAAAAAAATAGAGCTACACTCTCAGAGCGGACGAAATTGAATTTCACCACGGGCTCGAAGTTGTACAGCTCATAATAAACGGTATCACAGGAAAGTACTGCTGTAGCTTTCATTTGAATGGTAACTTTATAGGATTTCATCTTAAGACTCGAAATTTGGAATTTTACCATCACCTCAATGAGTCAACACATTGCAGTATCGTAACTTAATCTTATCTTTTCCTGAATACTGACTTTGATGATGTGTTTCGTATCAAATTGATATTAATATAAAAAATGTAAATTAATATGATTAAAACACGGATGGAGTTTAATGCAATAAGCGGGTCACACTTGGAACCCTAAACGGTATCACAGGGAAGTACTGCTGAGTGGCTTTCATTTAAATGGTCAAACCAGAGGATTTCATGCACAGACTCAACAGTTAAAACCACCTTGTACAGCATAACAAACAGTACCAAAGTAAAGTACTGCTCAGTAGCTTTCATTTGAATGGTCACACCATAGGATTTCATCCAGCTAAACAGTACAAAAGTAAAGTGTTCGATTCTGGATTCGTCAAGAATTTTATACACGAACAAGGAGGTCATCCCATTACCAAGCCAGCCTCCCAGTACCCAGATAGTGTTATTTTGCTGCGTGTAAAGCAGGTATAAGGGTGCAGAAAAATAAACATTGTTCGTCATTAACGTGATTTCATTAGAATTTTTGTAGAACCAACGAATGAATTCTTGACTCGATCACCAGCAAATTCGTGACCTGTTGATTACGCTCTTCTTAAAGGTCAACTGGAACTACACTTCCAACCTTCAATCCAATTTTTTCATCACCCCCAAAATACTTCCGTTTGCAAGAGAACCACTCTTCTCTTGCCCTCCCGCAATTCGACTGGGGTGAGTTAATAAGCACTTTGGTTTCAAGTCACGAAGGTCTTGTTCTTTCTTTTTAATATCATTTTTCTCCCCTACCTCTGCTGAATCCAACCAAAGTTTCTTGTTTAAGTCGGTTTTGCTGATATTTCAGAGTAAAAACTTCGGTCTTTTACGATTATATTCAGCATATCACTTCGCCCTTGTTTTTCTGTAAAAAACACAGCATCTTTAATCATTTAAGTACCTCTTCTAACAAACACTCAAATACGTAAAACAAATTATCTTCCTAAATCTTTCTTTTTTTGTGCAGATTACGTGTCTGAACTCTCATTTCACTAAAAACCTTTTTTTTATCGCCCCTCTGATGAAGGGTCCTTAAAAAGATCAAGTGATTTATCTTGTTTTTAGATACCGCGGTTTCCCTTTCAACTTTCGATGTTCCACCTTAGTTCTAGTGCCTGAAGCGAAAGCGACCACAATCTTATGAACTGTTAAAAAGAGCAAAGTGGTCTTATTGCTTGACCTAGTTCCTCTGCATTGTGAAAACCCTATCGACCGTCAAGTTATCAGTTTAATGCATTGACGGGGCAGCTTATAAACTAGCTCATTTCTCGCGATTACGGACCGAGCGCGAAATAGTTGTAAGCTGTAAATAAATTCTTGTCGTTTGATAAACTGAATTCCCAATTTGTTAATTACGTGTAGTTTAAGAAATGCTTAATTTGTAGGATTTGTAGAGTAACCTTTTTTCTGAGGGCTGGCTAACTTCCATCCACCCAGCTTAAATTCATCAGATTTATCGCTTGTTTTGCACGCTATTACTTCCTTAACAATTCGCACTCACAATTACGGAAGATTAAGCAGGCAAGTATTTAGTATTTACAACGTACAACCTTGTTAACGATCATATATTAAGTAATTAATCTCAATTATTTTCTAACATTTGACATTTTCCCACACGACCTATGCCACACATGGACAATCTACGCACGACAATTTGAAGTCAAATCATCTCATGTGTGCAAATTTTTTGCTACCTGGAAGGTATACCATCTATAAGAATTCCCTAAGACTGACTTCATGTTCCATGCAAATGTTGACTCGAACATTTTGCAGCGAGCTAGTTGATTTGCAAAAGAAACTCTTCCGTTTAGTTCCCTAATAAGTTGAAGTGATTTGGCAATTTGTCAGTGATGATAAATCTTGTTTTAAAGCTTAAACAGTTTTTTTTCCTCAGTTTGTTCATCTATCAAATTGAATTACAACGCTACGTCACGATTTGCTTAATTTGACATTTGTATTTGCGTCTTGATACAGATATTGAAGTAAATAATTGTTTCAGCATATACTCAAATATTCTGCATATGAGCCAAAACTTATTTTCAAATAGGAAAAATCTAACTATTACGTAAGCAAGTGGTATTTACTTCCAAGACAAGCGATCAAAGCTGGCGTAAGGTAATATTTGTCAGGTAACTGCTGAACAAACAGAATACCTCGCCATCTAACCCTACGATTACCAAATGTATTGAAATTGGAGAGGAGTCCTCAAAGTAGTATCAACAATCTAGCTCATCTGGTTTGGTTTTACGAAAGTACAGAATCAGTAACCACTGTAAAAACAAAAGTTAGAAACACATTGCATGTTAGAGGGTTGAATTCTGGGGGAGCAGTCATCATTAAGCAGCTTTAAAACGTCGTGCACTGAGAGTCAAAAATCACGCAGTACAACTTCATTTTTACATTAACCATTTGGTTTATTAAAAGCAATAGAGACATGAAATGGCATCACTCTGTTTTCATGACTTGTTCTTCTCCTTCCATTTTAATGAATCTCGACTCACTTTCTGGCAACAAAACATCGTGAGAATCCCAAGCCGTAAATGATTGATAATCAGGAAGTATTAACATTTAGACAAATTAGGACGGTTATGTTCCGCCATGGTGTAGTTTGAAGGCTAAATTCGTTCGTAGAAGGTGCCGGCAAAATAAATCGGAATGTTAAATCGAATTAGATCCGTTTCTTTGAAACTCATCGCAAGTTTATCGATCATAATTAATTATAATAATAATAATAGTAATAATAGTAGTGATAATAGTAAAGAAGCGATAATGATAATGATAGATAATGATGATAATGATAATAATAATAATAATAATAATAATGATAATAATTAATAATAGTAATAAAGCAGTCTATGACACCCTTGACTGCCACAAGCTCAGAGGATAAACTCAGTACACAAGACTTAATGAAAACTAATAGTGCTAATAACACAAAAATTGATAGTGATAGCTTGTGACGTCAGCTTTGATAGAACCACGCCATATTGGACCATATTTGCTTGAGAAACTGAACCGTGTTTTTCGTCTATCATTTTGGATTACAAGGTCAAGATACAATTCACTTAAGGAAAAAAAAAAGAACGACATTATACTCTCGCTGTACGTCAACCTCATGATAAATTTTAGCTGGAGCAGTGTTGAAAGAACGTTCTTTTAAAAATCAAGAATTTAATACGGGGTATAAAATATCTGACGGGCGTCCAATTTATTAATAAGTGATTTCTAGACAAGATAAACTCAAAAAACCGAGATCATAGGAATGACTACTTCTGTGTTGTTATCTTCATTTTATTTATGTAATTCCACTAAGTGATTTTACGTTTAGAATAACCCACAAAAACATTGCATGATTTTTTACTTGGATCCTTGAGTAAGGCCAGTACGAATGTCAACCTTTTGAGACCGAATTCTGAATCTTCAATGGGCTTTGAGCATAACAAGGGGGAATTATTGTAAAGAAACTTAAAAGTACCTCACATACTCAAAACTATGTCAAGGAGAGAGAATTAAAGTCCTCCGTTTATCTACGAACATTTATAGATGCTGTAAACAGGTAAATTAATTTCTGTAGACGAAAAACGAGAAAGCCCCAAGGATAAACTTGATTACGGAAGTATTTTTGAAAAATCTATATAAATCGGGCGGATTTCACGACCTTGAACATCAAGCTAAAAGCGCCGCAAATCATCGCGTTCGTGATTATCGGATTTGTAAAATATATTTTTATACATTTGTATCATTCTACACAGGACCTTCGTAAAACCAAGCAGAGAAAAACAAAGGGAACGGGAGACGAAGAGGATATCTCGTTTCATTTTAGGACAACCCATTTGCGGGAAAAGTTCAAAGTACAAACCTGCATGTTTTCACTCTAATTCATAGATACTCTCTTCAGTCATTCGCAATCAATTATGGATACTTGTAACGCTGTTCCTTTCAAGTCTGTGAAGGAAATCCTTTGGTGTGACCATTCAAATGAAAACCTCTTTGGTTATACTTTCAAACAGCACTATATCTTTGTAGACTTTTTCCAAAAAGGAATTTCAAATGGTTTTGGCTTCTAATGCTATTGGAGGTTAAGGACGGCTTTTATCAGGTCTTGAACTAGGTTCACCAACGGCTTAAAAAGTCATGTTTATGTTTCTTTCCACGATTTAATGCTTGTTAATCGATCGTTTTGGATGTCATTGCCAAAAATTCATCAAATAGCGCTAGAACTAATTCCGAAAAATCCTTTCAGGACTGAAACATCTCTAGGCCTAACGTTTTAGCTAGTTTTTTTTTCTGAAAACAAAGATTAATGGTATATTTAACCCTCTGAGAAAGTGGGATTTTCATTTTTTTTAGAAACATTGCCGGGTAACAAAGGGGCATTCATTTGTTTGACCCAGGGGAGGAGTGTGTCTCTTGAAAATATTTCCTATCCCCTCCTCTCTCTATAGTGAGCAAAACATTCATGACCCACCCCGTTTGCTATGCACGAAGAGGAACATAAGTTTTGAATCTAAAGTAATCGCTCTTCTCATTATGTCTTGTTGTGGTTAAAAGCGGATTCTAGATCAAATTCACGAAGTCTTTCAAAGGCGGAACCTTCACTAGAGTGTTGGACTAACACCTGTGCAGCAGGCTAAACCTTCTCAGAGGAATGCCCCTGGCTCTACAAATTGCTGAACGATTAGTTAGTTTAGCTCTCGAAGAAAACAACGAACACTTGTTTATCCAACCTCGTCCCCATCTCCAAAGGCAGAGAAAAGCGCCCTGGGGAAGAGTTTCATGCGCGCGTATACGTGTTTGCTCAAATTACTGGACACGAGTGAGGCCTCTTCGCTCTCTCCAGTCTCCGAACGTCCTTTTTCTCATCAGTTCTACTAAACCCTGGAAGTCTGGATCAAGCTGGGCGTTTTCTTAAAGTTCTCTAGTGCGCGTGGTAGGCGGTGGTCCCCTAGTTCAACACAGCGAAAGAACCTGATCGTTGACAGCCTTGTGTTGTTTTGAGGTTTTCATCATTGCAGACCGTACTCGTATTGCAATCCATGGGTTATTGCTTTAGTGTCATCTTGTCCCCAGAAATCTGGGCTGGAAACTTTAGAAGTTAAATGTTATTAAAGCCCGTTTATTGTCCGTAGACATAACTAGCGTTAATCAACTTGAAACAGGAAAGTCTTAACAACAAATAAAATAACTAAGTTTTTTTGTAATCTTTAGGTATAGTTTCATAACAAGGTAGCTTTAGCCAGACTTGTTTTAGCTGTTATCAAAATTACAGGCTTAGTATGAAATATCATATCTTTTTTATTGCCATCTAGGATGGTCTGAGCCCTTTATTTCTTTATATTTTTCTTCATAGAAAACATTTGGAAAATCCGTGCGAAGCGGATTACGAAGAGTGTAGGGTGAATCCAAATACAGGTTCAAGTCTGCAATATAATATCGGAATTTTAACGATGCTTTTTCTTTGCGATGGTTTAGCTGGCTCATAGCTAGATTGATGGCTCACAGCCGGATTGATCATGCTTCCTTATATAAAAAAGACCATAACAAACGTTGTGGCGAAGCCGATTAGTTCAACGTCCAAGAAAAGCCTATAGAAACCTTATTCCCCTACTTGCCCGCCTGGTGCATTTGCAATTCTGTAGAGCTTATAGGTAAAGGTTAAACTCCGTGAGGTTCCCAAGCTAAAAAGAGGAGTTGAAGAGCCTTTAATTTATTGTCCAGATTCATTTCGACGACGCGCTGGATGAAGCAATGGCTCTGAACCTAAAACCGTTCCTCCGAAGGAAATATTAATACACCAACTTCTACTTAAAACTAATTTTTAGCATTGCGTTTTTTGCGCCTGTCTAGCTCACTTCCGATGCTACAAGCGCCGTTGCGAACAGTATTAGCGAGGCTGATTTACCGCTGGCGGGGAGAAAGACAATAGTAAACGTTATCACTTCAGTCACTTCCGCACTACAATATCATAACAATAACCCATGGACACCCTAGTTTTCAGTTTACATTAGGGAGTGGTCTTTAATTACTGAGGGTATATTCAGTGGGGGGGGGGATAAGATTTAAGGGACTCCAATGTAGGGAGGACCAAAATTTTATTTTTTTGGACCCACACTTTTTTCGAGTTCATCAAGATTCAACATTTGAAGGTCTTTGTGGTCATCCTGGACGGTAGCCTGGCGCAATGTAAATATCTGTCTCTACGCCATCTTCACCATTGCTGGGATGAAAAAGATACTAGGCCATCATCGAACCGTTCTCGCCCCCAGAGCCCGTCGTTTCTTGGTTACAAATTAAGCCGAGTGGCTCTGGGGACGAGAATGTCATCGAACATGTTTAAAACAACTCTGGCGCATGCGCGAAATGTTTTTCTGCCTTGGATCTTTGGACCCGCCCCTATCTACGTCTGCGTCGCTTGCCACACGCGATACGCGCGTTTTTTATCTCCGATAGAGACATACGCTGGACAACATTATCTGAAAGATAAGGCAGTTTAGAATGACCGGCGTTTAACATTAAACACTTAATGACTGGTCCCAAGGGAAAAACTTCATTTTGCTTCCCGAGAATCTCAATGTTTCCGAAGCTGGAAATTCCTTAAACCTCACCGTAATGGCGGTCGTTGGTCAACATTCGTGGGTAACATTAGTGGACTGTTACCCTCTGACGTCATAGATTTTGAAATGTTGTCCGCTCAGAGATTTTGGCGGGAAAGGGTTTTGTTGTAAGATGTCATGTGACCTCGAAGTAACCAATGAGAGCGCGCGCTGTTAGGAAAAAATACAGTCATAAAATGATACAGCTTAATTAAACAACAGTCAAGAGAATGAAGGAGATGACCAGCAGGCAGGTAAAAATCTTGATTGTTAAAATCATTCTCTTATTGGATGGAGAATAAAATAATATTCATTGGATTTAACTGTTCGTACTACGGGGGGAGGGGCGGGGGGGCACTCCTAGTAATGGCGTTTTGGGGAAAGTTCCGCCCGAAAGGCTTTAGGTATACGAAAGGGTATGGATTTTACTAGCTGAAGTATATGAAAGGGCAGAAAAATCTGTCATCTCGATCTAAAAGGCCTGAAAACGGGTAACAGATGCACTTTGTGGCGATGAAAAAGTCAAGAAAACATTCTGGTTTTGTGATTTATTCATCCTGTAAATACAGTGCCTTTACATCGGTTAAAAGGGATGAAAAGGTCCTAACTAGGTATGTGAAAGGGGCATCATTTGTCAATAGAAGGCATATGAAAAGGGGCTGAGTACCTTTTCTGTGAAAAATGGTATATAAAAGGGTAAGGGGTTGGACCACGGGGCGGAGCCTCCCCGTATCAAACATTTTTGAGTTCCCCTCCGGGAGTGCTCAGAAATTGAGAAACTCTACTAATCTTTCTGAACTGCAAGTTGTAAAAGAAACTTTCTATAATAAAATTTTTGAAAAGAAAGCAGTTTGCACGCTCAATTCACATCGTGTGGCCTGCGGATATGCACGCAAACATTATGGTATGGTAGCTATTCCTCAGGGGAGATTTTACTAGAAAGGATGTAACTTGGAACTATTGCGCAAGGGGTCTTGCAAAGAGGATAAAGGAAGTCGTTCAGCAGCTGGACAGCGAAGATTAACTAGATTGACGACTTGGTTCACTTATTGGCAACTAATGGAGAACAAGCAATGGTGGTCAGAGTTTTATCAGCTTTACGTAATTAACTGTACAAAACATGATCAAAGGAAGAAGAGGATATGGTAACAACACCCGGGGGGGTACTTCCAGAAAAATTGAGGGGGTGTGCGGCACGCTTCCTGAAACCCTTACCCCATTTCAGACCAAAATCTGTGGTTTTCCCTACCCTATTTCATACCTGATCAAAAATTTGATACACCATTACGAACCAGACCCTAAAACCAATACCCTATTTCAGACCTGCCTTATAATCAGTTCCCTAGGTCAGACCAGTGTTGAAGGCAATGTTTATGCGCTTTTATTAAGTAGCATACAAAACTAATGACGGAGAAGTAGCTTCTTCTAAAAAACATACCCAATTCAAGACTAGAGTGCACAAATCATATCCTATTCCAGACCAAAAATGGTCGAAATTGATACCAAAACGGCTAAAAAACCATACCCTTTGGCGCGCACATACCAATAGGAGTACCCCCCTCCCCCCCCCCCCCGAGTTACAACGCGATCGGCTCCTGTTACAACACCATGTGACCCCTGCCGGGGGTACTCCTTGTAAGGGTCCATCCAGGTAGGCTTCGCCCCGAAAGAGGTACCTTTCTTAGGCTTTCATGTCATATCAAAGGGTATGGATTTCACTTGTTGAATTGAAGCATATGAAAGATAGGGAAATACATCATGTAAAAAGGCCCGAAAAAGCTAACAGATGCTTTTAATGGCCGTGTAAAAATTCGAGAAAACGTTCTGTGGTTCCGTTGTGTGATTTACTCATATTTCCAGACAGTGAATTTACAGCAGGTATAAAAAGGGGATGCAAGATTCTGATCTAATTATGTGAAGTCGAAAGGGGCAGCATTTGTCAATACAAGGTACACTGAAGAGAAGTACCTTTTCTGTAAAAATTGGTATATTAAAAAGTAAAGGGGTGAACCTCAGGGAGGAGCCAACCCGTATAAAACTTTGTTGAGCACCCCCCGGGTCTTGAAGTTGTAGTTAGGGTCGTTTATACAGTAATATGCATGAAAAACTAAAGGCTGTGTCTAAATTTGTGAATGTTTTGTTTTTACGTGGAAAAAACCTGCCATTTACTCCACTTGGTGGGGATTCAAATTCTGTTATGTCTCGTTGACAATTCATTACGTCGACAAATCAGGTGATGAGACAGCTGCTTCAAGTATTGTTTTTGAAGCATTTGCATTCGTTTATTTATGTTAAATGGATGTTTTTTTCCTGTTGAAACAGACAAATAAGTTTATAATTAATGCAAAAAGCAATCGCGAAACTCTACCCAGGAGTAGGGGCTATGACAGGATTTTTATCCTGGAATATGTTGAGCAATATAAAAGAAATTAAAAAGATAAAAATAATCTTTAAAAGTAAATCACAAAAGCAATGAACCGGAAAAAGAACTGTTTCTTGTCCTAAGTAAACAGAGTCAAAGTTTGTAGTTCAATATAAACGTAAAAACATGCATAATGTTTTTCTCCAACAAACGACTGAATAAAATCTTTTTACACACTCCAGTGCCCTAAAACTACCCTGATACCTATATCGAAGGAAAACGACAATGGTTCACTTAGTAGGAAGTCGGATAAGTGTCTTTGATATAAAATAGCCTAGTTCAACCGGAACATTCGCTGTTTGCACAACAACAGCCGAAGAAATTAACCAAAATTACCGTTTAGGCTACCATTTCTGTATTTTCCACTCTGCTCAGAACCTACACGTGACGTTCAAAGCAAACATAGATTGCGTGCTCCTATAGGTTTATAAAAAGTTTGCATGATAAAGATAAGTTATATAACAAGCCTTGTCTTTTGTGTGTCAATCAATTGATTAATCCCACGCGCGCATGTCCAATAGCTTGTTTTTCAAGATGACATAATCGCGTGTCAAAGGTATAAGTTCGCTCCCCGTTCACTGCACTTTCAAAGGGCGAAGGAATATCATTGAGCTGTCTGGAGCGGGCCTTTCAGGAATTTGCAAGTTTTATACGCTAGTTAGCATCCTCGAAATCTCTGCAATGGAAGAAGAAGGTCAAAGTGAGTCGCGTAGAGCGAGGAAACGTTCTCGAAGTAATAGCTCGGATGACTCAACAACCACGGAAAGAGAGAAGAAAACGAAGGGCACGTACAATAGGCTTACTTTAAACGACGATCCTGCTGTTTACGCGCGACGAATTCCTTATTTTGGAGAGAACTCGATTAACAATATTTTAAAGGTCGTTTCGTTGCAATCATTCTCGAATCCGCGTCTGTCTTTGCTAAACGACGGAGACCGAGAGAGCGAGCGAGACGAGGTTGCAGATCACAAAGCATCCAGGACGGGCGAGTCGGATAGTCTGTCAGATTCAAGCGAAGAATTAACCCGAAGAGATCGGCCCAGTTCATCAAGTGAAGATAGAGTTCCTTCCTCAGGACATCCACATATTGTTTTCCCGTCTAAATCCCGTAGCAAACGGGGTGATTTCAAGAATGGCAATGTGTTGAACGAGGCAATCACTGGAAAAGATCAAAGATACTGGGAAAAAAGGCAACGGAATAATGCGTCCGCTAAACGCTCAAGGGACGCGCGCCGCGTTCGAGAACTCGAGACTCAGATAAGAGCTGAATATTTAGAGGATGAAAATTACAGGCTAAAGCTTGAAAATGAAGTTCTACGTGAAGAGAACGCTCGATTAACAAAAACTATCGAAAGGCTTAAAGAGAACGCCAATAACAGTGACAAAGATTGCAGCGAATAAATTCACGAAATACGGAATATTTTTTATCAAGCGAGCCACAGTGGCGGTGAAGTGACTTAAGAATACTTGGATTGTTTTTTGGTTTGGTTAGAAGGGATTTTGTTGCCGTTTTTTCGCACTGAGTTGCAAAACCGTAAACTATTTCCATTACTTGTGAGGTGTGACGCAACACGCCTTACGTAGACGTTCCGGCCATCTTTAAGAATGGAATATAATATGTAAAGTCGTAAATAATGTACAATTGTTTTAGTCGACAACAACGCTACTCGACCCAGCTGTCTTTTAGTTTACAGAAAAACATTGTCGTAAACGTTAAGGAGTGTTTAACTTCAGAATCAAGCAGCCTGTTGGCTGTGTTTCAGTGTTTATAAGGGTGAAATTTTAAGATTCGTGCCGTTCGTCTCATGCAGGCACGTGCATGCAGAAATGCTCGCGTGATATAGAATCACTCTAGTGGCACTAGATTTCACTGAGGTCCAAACAAACGTCGTTTGAATATTAAACAATCGTTAAAGGGTAGAAATCACCCCTTATTTAAAACGAGAACAGTCTTTACGTCCATTTTCGGCTCGTATAGTGCACAAAGTTAAAAAAAAAGCGACTCTTCCGCGAACAGCTTGTTTAGATCGAAAGAATCAAGATGCACGTACGTCACATGTTAAAATAAGAACTTTCTGGAGAAAATGGCTAATTTGCCCCCAAAACTGTTTATCTCCTATAACAGGAATTGGAATATTGCTCTAAAACGTTAAAAAAGACCAGTTTGTGAACGGTATGCAAAAAATGCCATTTGGGTGTGTAATTGCACATATACAGTGGCGACAGTCGTATAGAATTTCTGATCCTCGGCATAAATGATCGCCGCCCGCCCTGGTTGTGTGGACGTTGATAATCAATCTCAATTTAGAGCATTCATATTCATGTACAAAGAGAAATCCTTATTATTTTGATTCCTTACAGCCATGCCTTGAATCAAAATAACAGAAAAATACTCAGTTACCTTTGTTACGTAAAAGAATTACATAATGTAGTTCGCTGTGTAGTTGCAGGTAATCGAATACTCCGAGTGTGAAAACCACAAAAAGTAATCACCTTACACAAAAGTTAATTCTTCTCATTAGTACCGTAAGAAATAAAAGGAGAATATGTGTGCTGATATTAAAGCAAAAAAAAGTAGAATTACTAAATCTTTTATCTTTAAAGTAAAAAGATAAAAAGGTATACTTCTGTAACAGACGACCTGTGGGAGTGTCTTGTACAAGAAACATTGCATATTAGGACTAAACCTGGGTTTTATCGATGAGTTGTTTTTTGGCAGCTAAATTGTATGATTAAACCCCTTTTTTCAGTTGAATATTGCTAAAAACTATTGGTCTTATAAAAGATTGAAAATGTATATCCATACTCGATTCTATATTTGTATTTTTCTAGGTTCGTTTGTCTGGTCCAGTTCTTTATTTCAAGTGTGTACCCTTAAATGTTGTACATTATTTGCCATTGATTTTAGACACAGCTTCAATGTAAATAAGTTTCTGAATTTTACATGGACTCAAACCTTACTGCAGGTTGTGTTTTGAGATTGCAAAGGGTTGTTAATTCCCTAAAATGATCTAACAAACAGTTATTGATAATTACTTACAATAAAACAAAATGATGTAAACTCAAATCTGTAGCCTTGATACTTGTTTATTCTTGATAGGAGAGTGGTATGTTACCATTTATTCTAGAATTGCCACGAATACCCCATTTTGTCTTTAGACTTAATATGAAAATTAGAATTTGTGCTGATCAAGTTAGATCCAGGGGTGCATTTTTCTTTAGTTCTGATGTCTCATAAGTATTAATAATAATAGTAATAATAATCTTTATTTCAAAGAAATATCAACGATAAAAAAGTAACACGAGGTTTCTATGACTCCATGTCATCATTATCAAATTGTTGATCATTGATTGTTGATTTTTCTCTTAAAATGTATGTCGAAATCAATCTTTATTTCGAAGGATAAAAATACATATCCTAAGTTACAATGAAGTCAATTATCATTATAAAACCTTATGCTTAAAAATTAACCTATTTACAAAAGTTGTGTTAAAGTGCTCTGCGTTTGTTTTTGGCAAAAGTCACCCTACCTAACATAATTTGTATTTAATTTAAGTATTGTCTATTATTGACAGCCTATATTGAAGATATATCTTAGCTTGACCTTTAAAGCCCCGACAGTGATTGCTAGCAAATTTCTCGTAGATATATCAGTGATTAAAACATGTAGATGCAGTTGGGGAGGGGGAAGAGTGCACGGAATTAAGGATATGATCACCAGAGATGAATTCTATGGGTATTTGGACAAATTCTCTCCACTACTACAATAAGAAACATCAGTGAGACTAGACAAAGAAGGAGAATTTGAATTTTAACAATAAGGACTAAAAGGCTAAGGCGACGTTGTGAATCCAGCCCCTGGTTGTTTCATCTTAAGAACTCTTACCTCCTACACACTGCTTAAACAACTTTATCTTTTACATCTCCTCTGCCATGGCCACTGGTAGACAGCTCTTGCTCAAATTCACATCTATGAACTCTGAGAATAAGACTGACCTTGATTTTAATTTTTAAGTCCCAATATCCACATACAAATTCTCCATAGTGATCTTAGTATATTTTTTCCTTAGAGAATTAGTTGCAAGAATTTGTTCAGAGATCAAAGGATTTTTTCTTTGGTGATATTTGTTTTAAAATTTCTCATAACCTTTCTCTTACATATGTACGATACTTTTAGGAGAAAATTGGTATTGATCACTCTTGGGACTCATAGGGGTGACAATAATGGTGCTTGTTTAATCTCTCTAGTGTGTAAGTGGTGCATGCCGAAAGTGCCCAGAGAATGAGTCAGACGCCAGACCAGTGTGTGGAAGTGATGGAAGAACATATAGCAGTCGATGTCTTCTTCATTACGCAAAATGCAAACTTGGGATTAAAGTAAGGATGGCTTACAAAGGAAAATGCAGAAAACCAGGTGAGAGAAAACAACAGGCTTATCTGAAAGTGAACATGACCTTTGCAGTAAAATGAACAACCTAAGTGGTTGAAAAAGAGCCTGAAAAAATTTAGGCCTCTGCGGGAATCAAGCTTGATTAGCTGAAAGGATAGTGCATAATTTGCGTTCGGTCATTGCTTAACGCTTTAAGTCCTAAGAGTGATCAGCACCAAATTTCTCCTTGTAATATCAATGCTTTGTAAAACAGAGTGTTCATGAGAATCACGGACATGATCACACAAGATGAATTTGCTTGATATTTTATCAACTTCTCCCCACTACTATTTTAGGAAATGAATAGGGGCAACAAATGAGAATTCAAATTTTGATCTTATTGATTCCTGATCAAGCCTGATTTTTTTTAAGTTCTTTTTCAACTGCTTAGGTTGTTCATTCTACTGGGAAGATCATGTTCAATTTCATATCTTTATCTGCAATTCTAGGTATGATTTATTTCATATCTATTCCTTATATATGTGTTGTAATTTATTTTTTATCTCAGGTAATTTTTACTTTCCCTTTGTTTCAGCTTCATTAGGATACACTACCAATTTACCCAAAAACAAAAGAAAAACAAAAATTACCCGAGATGAAAAATCAACTGCAACATATATCTGCAGTTACTTTGAACCACGCACTGCTGCCGCCCCTTAAAGTGAATGTTATGTGGGACCATTCTCAACTATGATTATCAGTGCATCACAACATATTGCAACATTGTTGTGACATTTTTTTGAATTGTTAAATTGCTCCAACATTGTTGCCCTTAAAATCAACACTGCAAATTGTTTTATGTAACATTACTATGATTAAATTTACTCCCAAACAATTTTGCTTTTTTCTTGAAACATAAAGTGTTTGATCCACAAAAAAAAAACTAGTCAAGTTCTAGATCTCTTTGCTATGTTTGCTACAATTTATTGTTAAAAATATTTATTTTATTAATCATTCATGCAGGTGCAGATGACCAAGATGCCAGAAAATTCCCACTGCAAAGTGACAACCAGGTATTATCACCCACATCAAAGTGTCTCCAAGACAGGCAGCAAGCATTACAGAATGCCAAATCAAAACAGCTGATTATGCTGGGCGTGTTTGTACCCAAGTGTGAGTCAGATGGGAGTTATTCTCAAGTGCAATGCCTTGATTCATCACAATATTGTTGGTGCGTGGATAAAATGGGTAAAGAAATACACCGCACAAGAGTACGAGGCAGTAGACCAAGATGTCCTGCACTTAACCTTGCACACAGTAGGTTTAATTTATTTTCATGTACTCCACTGAGTCACACCCTAAATATGAACACTGAGAGGGCCACAGAAAGTGTCCCTTTTAATATCATTAATGGGGTGTCCGTGTTTAAGAAGGTTGAATTTAAAGAAACTGCAAGCTAGGACTCTTCTTATAATTTCCCCAAGGACAAAGAAAACTGTCCGTATAAGTAATGAGGTGTCCATATTAAGTGGGTGTCTGTGGAATAGGGTTTGAATGTATTTGCTGGATGGGTCAATCTTACCCTGACCAAGTGAAATTAAAAAAAGAAAATTATATATTTGAAGATAAAACAAACATTTGACTCATTGAAACCCCCAGATATCCTTGGCTGAAATTTGATCCTCTAAGATCACATGAAGATCAACTTTAAATTTCTGCCCATGATACTGTATGAATTCTTAATCAATCCTTAATTGTTTGTGAATTATGGATGAGATCACCAAAGGGTAAAAAAATTATCTCCCTGATAGTGCCGTAACATCATAATAATTTATCACGGAGTTATGATGATATTAGAATAAACATTAAATTTCTCCTTGAAAATTTTTTTCAGCAAAACCATCAGTCAAGCCAGCAGGAAAAAGCTGGAAGTATGTGAAACCTTGCAGTAATTGCAAAGGTAAAATTACATTCATTGGATTTTGCGTAAATGCATGTATATAAATTATATTACTTAGTCTTCAGTCATTGATTTCTTCTTTGTTAAATGACTACAAGTGCGAAATAACAGCACAGATAAATTAATGTAGAATTTGATACTAAGCTATGTTTAATTTGGTCTCAGGTTGTTCACAAGAAACACGAGCTGTTTTTAATGAGAAACTTGTGACATTTTTGTCTAAAGAATTCATGGAATATGTCCAAAGGCCATCCCCTTCATCTACAGATAAAGTTCAAGGTGCGTTTGAGTTCAATTCACTGAAAAACACTTATCAGACTCCACTGCAACTTACCAAATTTGGCTTAATCTGTACATCTACTGTTGAACAACATTTAGAGGTGCATCTTTGGGCAGATAGTTATTAAAGCCAATTGATAGAATTAGAGACCAGAGCCCCTCTCAAAATCATTAATAATTCATAAAGAGAAAGCAAAGAAAATCACATTATACCTTGGCAGTGGTTTGGATATCGGATACTAATTACCATAACTTTATCTTTGAATTTCTCCAAGAATTATTGTTCATTTGAGAAGCTATCTTCAAAACTCCACCCAGTGTTTCATCTGATATCCTGGCTGCACCTCGTTTTTCAACCCATGCCACTCCTCGGTGTCTGGATATTGGATGAAACACTGCAGGTGTCATTTTGGATATATTAATTCAAATGATTTTTTTTTTTCATAAAATAAAGTGATAAATCATATTTGTGAGGAAAAAATATTTACAATTCAATTGCAATTTGAAGTGTACATTTTTTGATATTTTTATAAAGTATTAATTGGTAAACAGTCACCTAGGTGGGCCGGAACCCTTAGAAGAATTTTTTGGGCTGGCTGTTAGGTTGTCAAATGCAGACACTCAGCCTCACTTAGGGTGTTCTTGGATTTTTATGCTCATCTCCAAGTATAAAAGTACCGCTTAGGGCAGGTTGTGAGTAAATAAATGGAGTTTCTTCCACCCTACCCCTGGGTGTATGAACTGATAGTTGGTGGGTAAGGATGAGGAGGGGATGGGTAGCATTGAAAATTCATTGTCTGTTGCTCTAAATCAGGTTAATCTCTGGCAGTAAACAGCCTCCCTAGCTCAAACTATCCCTCAATTTTGTTTTACTGTCGAGAGAATATCCAATCTTATTCTTACTTTTTAATTACTCTGTGGAATTTTAGGTCAGCCTAAAAGTATGGAAAAGGCTCATCTCTTACTCTGGAAATTTACTCATCTTGATGCTAACGCTGATTATGTGTTGGAAATGCGAGAGCTTCATGGCTTCTTAAAGAAAACCAAAAAGACCATTTCACCCAAAAAGTGCAGCCGTTCATTTTTAGCCTACTGCGACAAGGACAGGAATTATAAGCTCTCACTAAATGAGTGGTACATATGCTTAGGGGTGAAAGGTAAGGCATATGATTTCTTAGCCTGTGGCGCAATTGTAATCTAAGCTCAGTTAGTTATGTCTATAAAGCAGGGCCAATATCTTTGAATTACCAGAAGTGCATTTAAAATTTCTCTTTAACCCCCTGATCTAGTTGGCAAATTAACAATGGCCTTTTTAACAGGCATATCATGGCAGGTAAACAAATCTTGGTACACACTTGGGTGCCCAGAGCAAGGATTTTGGCACTGTTTCTTAGACCGACTTAACCAAAAGTTTAGTTCCATTTATATCACAGGCTACAGATCCCTTCTTGCATTATAATAATAACCTTAATGTCAAGTATATATCACAGATATTCGGTAATTATTGATTTGTTGAACAAATTTTCCACATTACGATAGTAGACCACAGAAAACATAAACTCCAACAAATTTACAAGGTATCTCTCCCCATGAAACGTCCAAGCAGCAAGGAGCAGCAGAGATGGCTATACTTGCAGGCTACCCAAAACTAGGAGAAGTAAACTCCTCCATTGAGAAAGTACTCCCACCTCACCAATCAAGATTTTGAGATTTGATTTTTTAGAATCTTTATAAATTTTTCCCAACAGAGATCAAAAAGTGCACTGGAGATTATCTTGCAGCACTGAAATCAACACGGCATTCAACAGACTCCAATCCTTACCTACCACGCTGCGCAAGTGATGGTTCTTATGAACCTACACAATGTCATTACTCGCTTGGTTACTGCTGGTGTGTTGACGTGGATACAGGAAAACCAATTCCCAACACAACAACTAAATCCAGTTCACTGGATTGCTGGAAATACAGTACGTGATGAAAAAATTACGGATTATATTAATTTTATTTAGCTGCTTGGCCAGAGTAACACAACACTCCCAGTCTGAATGCCAGGAGCTTTGCACTATTCTGGCCCAAGCAGATTTTAAGGCAATATTTTATCATTAAATCAGATGGTTTAATTTGCATCTGTGAGGATGTGACTAAAAGTCCTGAGTTACGCTTGATTATGTTTTGATAGAAGAAACCTGATGCTGGTCATTCTTGTTACCATTAAGTCCTAGCTTTTATTTAACCATGCACACATTGCATTTTCTGTTTAATTAACTACAAGTTCTCTAATTCATTTTAAAATTTACTTTACTTTCTTTTCTTTTTTCCCCATGTAGCATCTAAGGACAATTCAACAACCATAGTGAAAAAACGTAAGTGGAATGAAATTTCTGAAAACCAGCATTAATATGAAACTGCCTTAGAAGTCTAGTGCAGCAATCACTGAACATTTTTTTCTGCAAACTTAGCGATCATCCAGGCTTACACACAAGACAGTGTCATACACAGTTGAAATAACTGTTTTAATTCTACATGCAGGTGTTATCGTTGATTAAAATTTATCATTCCTTTTATGTTTAGAATGTGCCCAGGATTTATGGACTTCATTTAAGAAACACATGATCAAGTTATTCAGAAAGGAAGTTGAAGAAGATTCACCATCAAGTAACAACAATGATCCCATCGGTATGTCAAAATATTAGTATCCATTTAAATCATCTCTGTGTATCGTACTTGTCTGTCTTCTTATTAGCTAAGAGCGTACAGTTAATTTTGGAAATCAGCAAAACCAGCTGATTAGTTTAGTTATCTGCTAGCAGATCACTGACTTATCTATAGGTTGCAGATTTGCAAAGCAATGTCAAACCGTGTTCTGTGCAACAGTGTGTTAGTCATTATTTTATTAAAAACTATGCATGATAAAACAATTTGGAGATTTGGTTTTTGTGATATCCAGAATAATCAAGGTCTCATAAATGTTATCATCCTAGGCTGAACAACCTTGACTTTGATTATTCTAGATAACACAATTCCTCATAATTGTTTAATTCTTTTTTTATCCCAATATTTTTCTGATTACTCGTGTCAGATCTCATTTTAACCCCTCTTTCTTCCTCTGCGCTTTTACCAATAATCCATATGATAAGTTGACATTGTTCGACTGACAGGTAATAACATATCACATTCATTACAAAGGAGTTCAGACTAACTTCATTTAGTTCATTAGCCAAAACATGCACATTTGTTTAGTATCACAGTGTCCATGGCCACAGTTGCATTTGTTGCACTGTAACATAACACACATTACTGTGATCATTAATTCAAACCAAATGTTTTCTTTCTGCAGGATCCTCAATGAGAAATCATGAACGCAGGAGTGCAAGGTCCGGTGATCTTCGATATCTTGGCTCACACCTCTCAGATCATCAAGTCTTAATCTGGAAATTCAATCGTTTGGACAAAAACAAAGACAAACTTCTTTTGTCGAGCGAGTTTCTGACATCTGCCATGAAGAAACATCTTGGCACAATAAAAAGAGGAAGAAAATGTAGCAAAAAGTTATTAAATGACTGTGACCTTGACAAAGATAGAGGTCTGTCAATACTGGAATGGACTCGATGTTTGAGAACAAGTAGAAGAATGATGCCTCTGCAATGATCGGTGTGAGCTTTTGGATGATGGAGACTGAAATGATCAGTTTCAACATTGGTCAGTGCTCAGGAACTGCGTCCAGTAACTGTAATGCTACCAGTTGGTGTTCCTGTGCTATCAGTTGGTGACCTGTGCTCTGGACACTAAAAAGAGATCACGCCATCACTGTTACAGATTCCTTTCCAAATGAAAGGAAAACATTTTGATGTCTTTTCTTTGCAACCTGTGCACAAATGCAAGCATCCTGAGACATAAAACATAGAGGAGTGTATGTAACACTGCCACAACATGGTGACAAGCTAAAATCAAAAAATAGATTAGACTTTCTTTGATATGCAGTGACTGTGAAAACCCTTTCATCTGAGGTGTTAGAATATTTTGGCATAGTGATCTCTTTTTACAGCCCATGGCTAGACCTCACACACCAGCAACTCAGTGGACTAAAAGAACAATGGGTGAACAAAATGTTATACAAAGACGCTGTTTGACAGTGTAAGAAATCACAATTTGATACAAGACTAGACCCCCCACCATTACATGGGAGTTCATTTAACACTATATTTAAAGCTTCAATTTTTTTTGTACTAATCTCTTCATAATTAACTGCATTAATCTAATAATAATTTATTATTAATATTGTAAAAGTACCCTTTTTAAACAAAAAGTTTTATAACAAAGTACAGAAGATGGTGAACAGGTTTCCCCAATACATCCTTTCATCCCTAACATTATTGCATTGATATTGATTAACAAAAATTCATTGGTACCGCACGTGTAGACCACGCCCAAGGGTTCTCATCCAGAAAAGAAACTCTGTTCAAGATGCTCAGTAGGGAAATTGCACAAAATAATGAATAATAAACAAATATCTCCACTCACAAGAGAATAATTTAGTTTCATGTTAAAGAAGCAACCAAAGAGGCAATCAATGACTCAACATTGTTTTCCATTTCCAGCAATGCCAAGTGGCAATTGTGTAAGCCCGTACTAGTAGAACCAAATTGACAGAATAAGATTGTTTTGAACAGTTTTATGAACACCATTTAACCGAGGGTGTTACATGGGCAGAGTCCTAAAATTTATTGCACTGTCCTTGTAAAGAGAGAAAGGAATTAAATTAACTTTAAAAAGAACTGCTTGTCCTATGAGGATATGCCTATGGATAATATAACAGTACTATTAATAGATAAATTAATATATTAATAAACCACCCAAAATGAGTCGCATCAAATAACATTTTTGTTAAAGACTATGTATGGCTGAAAATAGGGAAAGCAAGAAATAGTGGTAACGTTTATGTTTTATTTTCTGATTAATTTATTATGTAAGCACATTCTTTCATGCTAAGACATTCTATAGGCAGGGACTCATACTTTTCAGATAGTGTTAAAAAGTTTAAGTTTTTAAAAATTAGGAGAAAATAAATGACGAGAAAATACAGAATTGTAGCAAGAGTTTGGTTGAGGAAATAATTATTTTGACATTATCTGATCATCTTCCTCAGTCATGTGGTGTTATCCATCATAACATAAGTATTACAGAAATCAATTATTGCGTTATCCACGAGATAGCAGTTTATCGAGTGGATAGTACTATCCAAAGTTTGAACAACTGGAGCCTGATCATTCTTTACATCACCATTCTCAAGTGCCACATACTGCCACATAAGAGTGGAACAATGAGGCCTCCATCCCTTTGTAACAGTCATGAAATGGCAGATCATGACTGGCTTATAAGTTCTACAAAATCACATGACTAAGGTAGAAGTTGAGATTTAACTCCTGGTGTTGCCTGAGTGTTCACGCTTTTAAAAAATACATATCAATACCAAATTGGAATTAATAATATTAGGAAAAGCAATACAAGCATAGATGGAAAACGAGGAGACCAGTGATTTATTTTTAGAGATATAAATATTGAGCAATAACGGAAGACTCTTTTTCCACAGAAAAATAAAAATAGGGGTAAAACTTATTTTGTCAATAATGCTATTTAAAGAGAACTTTCATAACTCTACACCTTCACATAGTACAGTCATCTATCTCTTCTTAGGGTTTCAATATTTTTTTGGTATAAAAATAACCAGTTTATTTCTTCTCCATTATGTCAGAGAGCACTACATTCATGTACATGTAACTGTCTACCAGGGATATAATTATCACAGCAAATGTATGAATAAAAGTTTGTCGTTTAATGATTACTTTGTTGAATTTGTTTTCTATTGGAGGTAGAGGAGGTGGGCTGGTTAACAAAATTTATTTCTAAGAAGTGATCAACCAACATCAATGGTCAGGTTGGTCACTCACAGTCAATTCAAGTAATGCTGATTCAATATTTTCTTGATATGGAGGAGAAAGTATTCAAAACCCAGGTCGCTAAACCTCTAAAATCCGGTGAAACCAGTGATAAAGGTTTTTACCATGAACCAAGAGTTGGCAGGTGCAAAACACTCCTGGATAGCAGGTCCAAGATTTAGTCATAAAAATGGTGCAGTATTATTATATTACCAAAAAAGACATTTCGATGTTGAATATTTACAACAGAATTGAAATACATTGTGTACAAAATGTATTTTGGCATTGATCGATTTGTGACAACCAAAGTTACCTTGCCTTCTTCATCAACTTGTCTTCAGAGAGGTTTATTAATACATACATTTTATCACTCTCTTTTCTCTTCTAAATGCTGTATTGATTTTGACGCAGCAATTTTTTCAAGCCCACTACTGTTCTGAGCGATTAGATGTTCCAGTTGACGCTTTAGACCATTTGCTCTGAAAAAATATTAACTCACTATTACATAAACATCATCATTGAATTTTTGCATGCTGAAGAACATGCCACCTATTCACTAACAGAGGCCATTTAATCGATCATGATCAAAGCTGCGCAAGCTGCACACAAGGAAATTTAACAAGGTCTATCAATTCACTGAATAATATATTAAAATAATATTAATAATATTATTATTATTTTATTATTATCATCATTATCATTATTAGTAAATCTATATCAGTTGATATGCACACCTATTGTCAGAGTGCTCAATAGAAGACCTAGGGCATTATAATAGAGGGGACCTGATCAGTAATTGAAGATTCGACTTGCATTTTATAACTACAGTAACTAGTTTCATACCGTACAACATACGCAGCACTCCTCAGATAAAACAGCAAAATGAAAAGTTTATGATTAAAGCTATGTACCTTCCCCTCTCCACAGCCTGTGAATACACCTGATGTGCTCTTCGATTAGATTCATCCATATGTGCTCTGTACAGGTTATGTCTTGTTCTGTGATGGAGTGATGAACAAAATTAATGTCATGACTGATAATCAAATGGCACTACCTTATACTCCCAAGTGTCGTGCGCTAACTTTCTCAAAATGTTAATAGAGTCAAACTCAATTAATATGGATACCGAGGGGGCCATAGAAAGAATCCACATTAACGAGGTGTCCGTATTAAGTGGGTTGAATTTAGAGAAAATATAAGGGCTTTCTTTTCCCAGGAACAAGGAAAACTGTCCATAATAACGAGGACTGTCTGTATTAAGCGGGTTTCAACTGCAAATGTGAGAGCTGCCGCAAATTATATATTAAAGGCAAATAACAGCAATTCACAGTTAGAGGCAAAGCTGCCAACAACCCTTTTCAGTGACGGAGGACATAGAGGTGGGAGCCCGGGAGAACAGGGGGGCAGGACAGGAGTCAGAAAAGGGGAGAACAGAGGACGAGAGAGAAAAAGGCAGGAGCTGACAGTTCTAAAAACAGTAGGAAGAATGAGAAAAAACCGTAAGATCAAAATTTGAATTCTCATTTGTTGCCCCTATTTATTTCCTACAGAAGTAGTGGGGAGAAGCTGATAAAATATAATATCAAGCAGATTTAATGACACCCCAGCAGGGCTCAAAGTTAATGGCTAATTGGTTGCATATGCGACTGGATTTTTGGTTTTGTGCGTAAAAAATCATGTGTAATCACACCTGTGCACCATAAAACCAAAGGCACACTGACCAACTTGCTTCCCTGCTTCCTAACCTGACCATACTTGCAAACTCAAACTAGTACTTAAGCCTTATGAGAGTAAAAGTAATGTAGAAATACACTGTACCACAACCAGGCTCTAAAATAATAAAGTTACATTGTTTCATCTGTGTATGTTTAATATTTCCTCTCTCCCGAAGGATTTCATGAACTTGAATGTTTATTTTACTCCATCCCAAACTCTTCTGTTTGGTAATAAATGTCGCTAACAGGTGCAGGTATACTACGAATGAAACACATGCTTCTTGCACAATGGACGATCATGTCCAACATTCATTTCTAAGGTCAAGAGTGCCGAGCACGTCAAACAAAAACAGCTAGTGCGGATTAAGAGCCTTTTTTCTTCCAGGTAACAGGGGTGTAGCCAGGGGAAGGTTCCACTCAGGGGTTCCGGAACCCCCTCTCCTATTTTTAACAGTGGTTTGATCCCAGCAAGAGTGTAATGGACTCTCGATTCCTGAAATTTTTCATTTTGTTCTATGCTTACAATAAGTACAGTGAACGTCATTGTGGTATCTATTTGCGTTTCACTTGGATTTTCGGAGACATGAGCAGAGTTGGGATTCCTGTGTAACAAGATGCACGTGAGTGCACAGCAGAAATGCCCGCGAAATTAGTAGACGATCCATTGGTGTTGTTCGAGTTGGTGGTTTTTGTAACAATGTCCCCATTGCAAAAGATCCATGCATTCTTTTCCCCAAAAAGGTAGGCACAGCAAAAAATTCCTGAGCTGATAGCCGTCGGAGACAGAAATCCTGACATTGAAGCAGCGCTGGAGTTTTATGAGAATGACCTTCCTTCTCCTCATGTGGTTGATGTTGAGCTCCTGCAATGGAAGAGAAAGTGGTGCAGCACTGAGGATGTCGACCTTCCCACCAGTGCAGTTCGGACACTCGCAGCATGCGATCGAGAGTTCTTTCCTAACATCCACACCTTGATCCGCATTTTGTGCATGTTGCCGATAACGTCAGCTGAATGTGAGCACTCATTCAGTACACTAAGAAGGTTAAAAACATACCTGAGGTTGACCATGTCAAGTGAGCGAGAATCTGGGCTGGTGTTGATGAACATCAATAATACCCATATTACCACCGAGACATAAATTTCGAGGAAGTGATAAACACGTTCGCTCAGCGGCAACCAAGGCGTCTTCTCTTTGCGTAGCGTAAATGCCAAAGTCTTGTACATACCTAATGTAAGGATTTTAGACCAACCGTTTTCGTTGGAACCAATTTGGAACAGCCCCCCCCCCCCTCCTAGAAATCCTGGCTATGCCCCTGGGTAAGAAAGAGTTTTTAAGTCGTTGCATGTAAGTCATTGTGCATTTAACAAATTCATTTAAGATTACTTCTTGTTGGACATACTCATTGTTGCTGTACATTTTTTTCAAGTGTAAGTTTCCTTTAGTCACAACAGACTGTACTGTCAAAAAGACAAATTAGTGCTAAAAATCACAACAGTATTACTGCATAGTAAATCAGCTGTCTTTTATCAATCACAGGACTTAAATAAAAGTAACTATTTCAAATAAAGATGACATACATACGTGGCACTGTTAAGCTTTTTACTTCTTCTTTTGAAATAGATGCTCCCAACATTGCAAGCTGTGCTCCTAAAATTTTCAGCTGTGTGCCTAAAAATTTACATCTGGTAGCACAAGTGCTCCCAAATTCAAACTTAAACTTTGAGCCCTGCACCCCAGAAAGCTTTATTTATTTTACTTTTTTGCACCAAAAAAATAGCACAGCTATTTATGCTGAAGGAGGTAAGCCCTCTCCCGACAACAAAAACTAAAGTTCTCTAATATCAGGACCAGCCCAAAGGGTCTGTAAGGCTATGTTCACTTTAGACAGATCTAGCCCTGGAATGTCACTGCAAAAGCAAGTGCAGGAAGGAAGTCACATAAATTATGTGACTTATCCTCAGCAAAGAAATAACTTGCAAAATAACGACAATGGATCAATTTTGGTTTCGGGGAAATTGCCCACCTACGACCCCTCCCCTAACCCATCATTTTGCCGTAAGTGAGAAGTAAGTGTTTAGGGGAGGGGTAGGTAGGTAGTTTCCCAGAAGCCTGAATTGATCCATGACAATATCACTGCTTCACTTCAAACAAATACATCTCTCAAGCATCATAGATTCAAATGTTACAGACAAATACTTTAACTGCGCTTTTCACAAACATACGAATTCTCAAGTTCAAAAGCGAACTGACGATTGCATTTTTCACTGCCGTCAATCATCTTAACAAACCTCTTAGGAAACAAAACTTTACTTTAACGGGTTCAAAAGGTCATGGTTTGCGATTGGTGATTGGTGGATTTCAATCCGTTTAGTGTGTTTCTGTGTTTCACGGTTCGTTGCTTGTGATTGTAATTCTGATTGACGGTAGCGAAAAACCCAATTGTAAAGGCAGCTTTTGAACTTTAGAGTTCACATGTTTGTGAAAAGCGCAGTAGAATAAACTTTGAAAAACCGTTAGGCTAACTTGTAAGTTTTCAAAAACCACAAATTTTGCAATCTGTTTCAATCTTCTTAGAATCTGCCCATCCTTGCCTTCTTTTTTTATTTGCTGTGCTATTTATTCCTTCTTTTATTTTTTTGAGCAGTTATTTTTATGTTTCAGTCAATTTTGTGGCAGTTCAGAATGTTTGAATTTTGATAAATTTCATGTCACAGCTGCTTTAAAACATGCAGAACAGTTTCACAAACAAACGGTCGTCACTTGTTTCCATCCGCCAAACTGACATTTTCCTCTCAGTGGCTCCCACAAGACATTTCACTTTTCTTTCATGAAATTTCTGTTCATAAAAGTCTAAGTCTCTTCAATTTTTAAGGAAAAAGAATTCAGGATGGCACAAGTAGGATTTGATCTCGAAGTATCAGCTCTGCAGCGCATCACTTTAACCCCTATTACACCGAGGATTGGCTGACATTGAGTGGTTTGATTTGAATATATATAGCAACAACCCTAACCCTAACCCTTAATTTGTGTATGAATCATTAATCTGTCAACGTCAGTTTGGTGGATGGAAATAAGACAGTGTTGACCCAAACAAACCTGATTATAAGATAGCTAACTGTAGCTCCAGTCATCATGAAGACAAAAGCTCCCAACATAATAAGTCTGTTGTGTTTCTGTTTTTGAGCTCTGTTTACATGTACATGTGGTGGTGTAAAGTCATAGGTTCTTGATTGCCTGAAGATCAAAAGGAAAATCTCATTTTAAAAAATTACGATAATGATCAGACATTTAATCCTTTAAACCACAATATCTATATTACAGGTCAAAATTTAATTCAGGTTTAATATTTTTTTAACCTTGGTAGATTCTCTATTTCCTTTGACTCCTAGACCTCTATTCATGGATTAGGGCTAGGAGACAAAGGAATTTGACAAACAACCTAGGTTAAAAATTTTAAACCGGAATTAAATTTTGACCCGTAACATCTACATGCAAATTCTCTACACTGATCTCCATACATTTCCTTTCAGAATACGTGGAGAGAATTTCTTTGAAGATCAAAGTATTTTCCCTTAGCTGATTATCTTATTAATTCTCACAATATTCCTCTCAATGATGTATTGATAAAAAAAAATATTGCTAAGAGAGAACTGATTTTGGTTGGTGATTTATTTAGTTGATAGCTTTATCCACCTTTTGTGCAACTGGACCCTGTACGAGGGTACAGTCAACTCTATCTAAGACGGACACCTTTGGGACCGGCACTAGCTGTCCATCTTAGAGAGATGTCCGTCTTATAGAAAGTCAATAGAGGGAGCAAAGAAAGGCAGGGATCAACTCTAGGTATCTGTTTTACAGAGGTGTCCGTCTTATAGAGGTGTCCATATTGTTAGCCATAGCCTAAGAATGTAAATAAATTTGTTTAAGTATGTATATTTTCCTAACACAAGGTTATCCTAAGTGAAATGTTTTTGTTAGATTTGTACATTTTTATTATTATAGTTTTTTAAATCCATTTTAACTATAACTTGTATATTATACACGTAATTCAGTCTTCGGACTACGAGGTGTTTCTTTTTTTAATAAACGATTTATCTATCTATCTATCTATTAAGAGAGAGTTGACTGTGTACCTCTGCTTGGCAGCATGATTGCCATGTTGCTCATAGCAAACTGGATTATTCCTAACTTGTCAGACACAGTGCAACTTTGACGTTTCACAGTGGTAAGTTTCGTAGCCATGATCACTATAGTGACAATTTCACATGTTGTTTTCCTCAATCAGCTGTTTCCATTTTAATTTATTCATGGATCAAAATTGAAAACAGCTCATCGGTAGTTTACTTTACTGAGTGTATTAAACACCAATTACTGCAAAGCTTTTGTCTTCTTTTGTTTTCTTGACCAAACAATGGAATCCTTGTATAACACGCATCGTAAATTTGAAGGTTGATTTCAGGGGAGAAAAAGTGCGCATTATACACAAGTAAATACGGTAACTTAAAGTAAGGATACCTGTAGTTTGATGAGCTTGTGGCCTTCTCATAATAGTAACTGTATGAAGATTGCCTGCAAAGAGTGAATGGTGCTTACAATGAGAAGCTTAAAAATTGTCACTGCAAAGTAAAGACAAATTGATATCGTAGAGGACACTGTTTTAACTCTAGGATGGTGAAATGGTTTTCTTCAAAGACCAAAATAGACCAATTCCGATATATTAAAATTCATACTTGGCTGCAAGGGCGAATAAAACAAAAGAAATCATCTTGAGGCTCAATAATGAATAATACACTTCTGTTGTTGTTTTATTCTCCCAAGCCTCGGAGCCAAGTATGAATTTTAATATAATGAGAGGCAATCACAAAATTTAAGTCATAAGCACATCCCAATTACATAATAAAATTTGACTTACAGTGCAACTACTAAAACCAGGGCACTTGAAAAAAGATTATCCAATCACAATGTTTTTAAAAACAAAAGATTCTCAAATTTTTTTGCAAACAGACCAATAACATTCATAAAATGCTAGGGCTGTTTCCTGAGAGGTCAGGTAAGTTAAAATGGTTTTAAAGTTTTCAACGGTTGCATATTTCAATCTTAAATTTTATTGGTCAATTTGCAAAAAAATGTTGTGATTGGATGATCTTCTTCCAAGTGCCCTGGTTCAAGTAATCGCACAGTCTGTAATAGCCAATTTGCTAAAAAAGTTGTATAATAATTTGAACTTTTTAAACACCAACATCATCTGCCGTTTGGTGAGCAACACTAACATTAAAACTGTTAAATTGTGTATCATCAATTTAAAGTCTAAGACCTCTACCTGTTTCGTGGCACAGAACCAAATGGACTACCTCTTGAAGAAGAGGAGGAATTGAAAGAGCTGAGTAGTGAGAGATCATATGCACGTCTGCTACTTGCATCACTTAATATATTGTATGCCTGACTGACCTGCAAGGAAAAAATACATTGTTACTTCCAGTACAGATTTAAACACTTCATAGAATTTCAGCCGGAACATATCACTAAAAAGTCAAAATTTCCAATCATTGCCACCATCAGGGATAAGATAAGTAGCAGCTTCATTAAGATTGGCCACACAATGTTCAATCAAACTACAAAACTGTAAATAGTTGTAAACACATGCTTCATTACCAAGGCTTAAGAAAATAGTGTTAAAAAGTATCAAAGTTTACCTCGACAAAAGTATTGTGGAGTTCTGGTTTGAGTGGATTTGTATCTGGATGAGACTGAAAGAAATATAAGAGAAAAGATTTCTATAGTAAAAGCACTTCTCATGCATCAGTGACATACGGCACAAAGCCAGCTGGTATTAAGCTTTGCTTTGTTTGTGATCCTTTTTGTGTTACGTCAAAGTAAAATTATCAAGAAATCAATCATGGATGAATCCAGGTATCTATTGCTTCTATCTTGTGAAAATCAATCGTTACGTCATTCTCAATAACTGATTCTTAATTCTTCACTCATACAGGAATTGAGAATCAAGACTGGCAATTGAACGGTAAGATAAGATAAGATAAGATACTGGTAATCTTTATTTAAACATGTGACATTAGCGAGCCTAAAGAAAGAACGTTACAAAATGTACGTGCAGTACTGTCTGAACTCCAATAATGATACATTTTACGTATTTAACACTACACACATTAACATCAACACACACAACTTAAAATTTTAATACTCTGGAATTACCTCTTTGGACTTTTTTATAAAGGCATCCTTGATTTCTCCAAGAGTTGCTGTTTCCGATACGTCCAAGATCTCATACAAAGTTGGTTTTCTTGAAGAGCTAAAAAGAGATAACAATAATTAGAGGCTGACCATTATCTGTTAACCTGTTGGGGTAGGGATTATGGGTAAGTCAGTTTAGGCAATAATTTTTTTCAAGCCTGCTATAACGTGATGGACTTATTTATGTAAATAGATAAACACCATTACAACTTCATCCACAAAACTTTTCACTTCAAGTCCATTTGCAGAATTTTTTTTATGAAATCATTCTTTCCATTCTAAGTCACATGGTTTGAGTCCATTAGCCTGCAAAAATAGCCGTTTCTCCTCGCTATCCTCGAAATGTCTCCAGTAGTGAGGAGCAAGGAGAAATGGCTGTTTTCGCAGGCTATCAGTCTCTAAGAAAGATGCAGAGGATTGAACTACAGAATGATTAAAATGAAGTACAGTCGACTCTCTCTTAACGGACACCTCTATAAGACGGACACCTCTGTAAAACGGACACTTAGAGTTGGTCCCTGCCTTTCTTTACTCCTTTTCTTCGACTCTCTATAAGACGGACACCTCTCTAAGATGGACACTTAGTACCGGTCCCAAAGGTGTCCGTCTTAGAAAGAGTTGACTGCAATGGCTTTAATAATGACATACCTAGCTTGAGTAGCAGTTGAATATGGACAGGCTGAATAAAACACAACAAAAGGATAGTACTCTGGCCTTGCTCCACACATGTGCATCAGCATGTCTTATTCAGGTGTTATTTGGTTCGCTATAAGGGTGAATGACACAGAAAATAATAGTTTCAGCAACCTCTCTCACTTTTTGTGTTTATTATTTCACTGTGTAACTGATACATATTGGGACAAATAGGCGAATCTTTGTTTACCTTTTTTGCCTCATTAACATTTGCTTATCACTGTCTGATGACGCTAATAAAATAAAAACTCTGAACATTGAAAGGGCATAACAGTTTCAGTTATCTCTGAAAATTTGAGCCCAATACACCAAATGGTTTCGGAGAAATTCTCCTCTAAAAACTAGAAATTTTATAGAGAATGTATGGCTAATTAACTTTTTTGCCACACAGCAATTTCGCAGTTTTTGGTGGCTGATATTTCTTTCAATATTGCTCGCAAAAAGCTGAAAATTGCACAAATTGCCCAACTTTAACAGCTCTTTCGACTTTTGCATTTAATTCATATACAGCTATTTCGAGAAAGGTTGTCGGAAAAAAGTGCACGCGACAATCCCGAAAGGTATTGTGGGTGGTTTTGAGTTTACTGTTCTTCAAAGAAATTTGAAAGAATGGCACGAGAGGCCATGGACATAAGTTTGCTAGTGCTAAAGAAAAAAACAACAAAAGTAGGCTCGACAGCTACTGTCGTCCGGAACAGTGTATTGATCATATCCCATATTGCCATTCGGGATTGTCGCGTGCACACTTTTTTCCGACAACTTTTCTTGAAATCGCTGTATACAGCCACGGCTTCTATGAGTTAAGTCGTATGCTAATGAGGAAAAATGTAAACAATGACGTCAGCAAAGATTCGCCTATACTCATACATGCCAACTCTCCCGGATACAGCACCAATCTCCTGCTCTACCGTACGGGTCACCTTATCTCCCGGATAAAATCATCTTTTGAGCTTTCCTGTGCCTAGATTTCAAATTTAGCTCATTTTTAGTTCAAAACTTGAATTTTTCTTATTCGCAGTACGGTTTCTGGGGCACTTTTGCACGTATTTAGTCACTGTCAAAGATTATTTCTGGTATAAAAACGATGATTGCGAATTTTGATAGCATGTACTTCATGTAAGACTTCATATAATGTCCTTAGTCTTTCCCATTGGGGGCTGGGTTAATTTGTTGGGGGTGGGGAAGTGCAAAAACGAGAGTCTCCAGATTTTAGATCTCCAGAGGTTGGCATCTCTGTATACTTGGCAGAAACTTTGACTACCTAATGCCTGGTTCACATGTTTGACGCACGGGCAATTCGAGTGCAAATGCAGAAGCAAACCACGTTCGCACATCCAATTCATATACAAGGAAGGAAAGATACACAGACGCAGTCCAAGTCTTTTTCACAAAGCCATAGTGACATGGAACCAATGGAACCTGTGTTTTTTCACCTTGCTTTTGCATTTGTGTTTGCATTGCCCAGGTTCACATGTGTAAATAAAAGTGCCATGGAAGTGCAAGAATACTTTTTTCCCATTTCTTTTACCGGCACTTGTACTTGCATTTGCATTTTTATGGTTCATATGTGTATTCCTTGTGTTTGCATTTACGTTATATCTGTGAACCATGCATGAGGTAGTTGTCTTTATTGTATAAGCCAGCTTAAAAGTATGGTCCATGATGATAAACTGTCTATTGACTTTTTTTAACTGTTTACTGACATGTAAACTGATGTATACCCCATTCAACTCATATATGCAAGACGAAGAATTTCTGTTTTGATATTAAAAATGTACAAAGGATTAAGAGTAAAAAAGGTCAAGGTTAATTTATCAATTAATGAATGAGGCTGAGTATCTTATGAAAAATTATGGAGATCGAGGAGGGTGTTATCCATCGAGGCTGAGGGGGATGACACCCTCCTCGATTTCCATAATTCTTTCATAGGATACAGGGCTGAAAGTTTAAATTTGAGTTTGGGAGCACTTGTGCTACCAGATGTAAATTTTTAGGCACACAGCTGAAAATTTTAGGAGCACAGCTTATAATGTTGGGAGCATCGATTTCAAAAGAAGAAGTAAAAAGCTTAACAGTGCCACGTATATATGTCATCTTCATTTGAAATAGTTACTTTTATTTAAGTCCTGTGATTGATAAAATTTGTCATCTTCAGTTTGTTACTTTTACTTCAGTCCTGTGATTGACAAAACATAGCCGATTTGCTATGCAGTAATACCGTTGTGATTTTTAATAATAATTTCTCTTTTTGACAGTACAGTTGTGACTAAAGAAAACTTACACTTGAAAAACAATTCAAAACTGACAACAATGAGTGTGTCGAACAAGAATGAAAATTAATCTTTCATGAATTTGTTAAATACGCAATGACTTACATGTAACTGGAATACGACTTAAAAAACTTTCTTATCTGGAAAAAAAGGCTCTTAATCCGCAATGTTTTTGTTTTGATTGACGTTAAAACTGAATGTTCGACATGATCGTCCATTGCACAAAAAGTACATGTTTTGTTCGTAGCATATATTTGCATGTGTCAGCGGTATTTATTACAAAACAGAAGAGTCTGGGATGGAGTAAAACATCGAAACGAAAAAGAACATTCGAGTTCGTAGAATCCATTGGGAGAAAAGACCAATTAAACATTCACCGTCTTTCTAGTTCGAATTCGTAAGTATAGTCGGAAGTAAGTCAGTCGCACTGTTCTTTGGGTTTTACGGCGCAAAGGTGTGATTACACATGAATTTTTAGGCGCACAACCAAAAATCCAGTCGCATATGCGACCAGTTAGTCGCTAACTTTGAGCCCTGGGATATGAAAGCTGAATTCAATAATTTTTTTAATTATTCATTCAAAAAAATTCATTCATAGTTTAAAAACATGGCTTAAATGCTTACCTCTATCGACCCATCGATGTTAAGTTCATCTTCGATAGTGCACATTTAGGGTTGTTCAGCTCCACAAATACTCTCCAAATAACAGATGTCGCCCTCTGAGTTGTCTTCTTGCTGTTCTTGCCATGTTTTTAGCTATTATTTTGCCTAGTTCTGACCCCGGGGGGAGTACTGCCATACATGGGCTATATAGGTATGTGCCGCTGTGAAGGGTATGGTTTTCAAGCAGTTTACTCTAGGATAGGGTATATAAATCAGAACATTTCGGTCTAGAAAAGGGTATCATTTTTCAAAAAAAATGATCAGTTGGTTGAAGATTTTATCTAGACTAGGGAAACAGCTACTCTAGGATAGGGGGATTTGGGGAGTTTACTCTAGTATAGGGTAGCAAAATTTAGCTGAACTAGCTCTGGTATAGGTTAAGGGTTCCAGGGTCCCAGCGGCACATCCCCACCCAGAAATTCCTAAAGTACCCACCCCCGGGGTTCTGACTCTTGAAACAACCAAAACAACTCAACCTCGTCCCCAGGTCTTCTCGGTTAAAGGTGCATTAACCTGCAAAAAAGCTGCACTTTTGATGTCATCGGTTCATTAAATGCAAAATTCTTCCAAATTTGGTCATCAGTAGCTGGTCATGGTGAATTATGCGTGTGCTTTTAGCCAATCAGAATCGGGGAAATATTTTGAATGAATAATAATAAACAATAAACAAACTTTTACCTGAACGCCGTATAAAGTGAGCTTTTAAGAAGAATAAAATATTAGTTATGGTCAAAAAAAATGTTTTTACACTTAAATAAAGTATGGTTATAAGAGGGGTAGCAAAACTGGCAATTTAAATAGTAAAGAAGCGTTAAATACTGCGTAAACTTTAACCAGGCCAAAAAGTCTTGCATAACAGATAACACACAAGAGCAGCTATCAATTAGTTTTCGAGACATATTTCCTCTCACCTGAGCTGGGAAGTACATTTAGAAGCAGCAGACAACGAAATTTCCTTTTCAGAGCCAAGACAACCAAGCCAAACTGACGACAAGGCCTATTCAAGTTGGCGAAACAATGTGTCAACAGCCCGCCATCTTGAACTTTCGACTTGGTCAATAAATTCCTCTCCCCACTCGTCTCGGTATGAAAACGTCATCTTGCTAACGTCACCAGTTTCTATTGCACATGCGCATTGCTCAAAGCTTCGTTCGATTCAAGATGGCGGCAATAAATGGATGTCTTGTCGTTTTCATCGTAATGTTTTCTCTGATTTCTGTATCTTGCTTTCCGGAATCCGGCATAAGGGACCTCCACTTTAATAAAGTGAGTGATAGTAGATTACTTTCATTAAATATTTTGCTGTGCGTTGTTTTGTATGCAAGTCTAAACACACAAACTTGATCACCTGATGTTTTACATTTTGCTGAATTGAATTTGCTTCCTTTCCATTTCTTTTCAGAAACACACGTATAGAACGTTTTCTAAAACAATGAACAAGGGATACACCGTTGCAATAAAAGGTTTGCAATATAACAAGCCATTATCAACGTCTGTCTAATTTCATTATGGCCTCCAATCAATTTATTTTGCCAGGGACGACGTTCGGAGCAAAAACTGGTTGTATTAGATTTACTATGGTACAGATAGTAGCATTATCGAAAGTCACTTCGTGAATTACGCCGAACTATTTCGAAATTATTTATATTCGTGTCGCAAACGGAGCGAGAAATTAAAGTTACAAGTTAAATGCAAGTAATTTGTTAAGGAAAGTAAATGCAGCTGTGAGTAACGATTCATTCCTTTGGTCATTTTCTTTTTATAGGACAATGCAGCAACTACTCAGGATTGATACAGATAAACTGGAGGCTGGAAATATCACAGTGTGCAGAAATGTTTTCTTTTGTAAATGTATGAATATTTCCAGTTTTCCTTTCGTGTGTTGGCAATAAATTCTTGGGAAAAAAAAAAAGAAAAATTTTTCCGGTGGATTTGTTTTATATGAGCAGATAGAATGTACAATAGGCCATCATTTTACTACTATGACCAGAATCCTTTAGGGTTTTGCTTTCTTGTGCAAATTAAGGCTTTTGTTATTTAAACCACTGTGGGATTACCACATTTAAATATGAAAGAAAAAACAAAAAGGATTCTGGTCGTAGTAGTATATTGTTAGCATATTGTTGTTAGCTCTGTTGTACATGTATAGTCAAAGCAATATTTTTTATTAATTGCTGCAAGGCCCAGGCAAATTAGGTGTTCTTGTGGTTTCTTGGGTATCCTGTCACTATTTAGGCATCACAATCTGGATTTACTGTTGAACCTTTACTAACGGCCACCTCTCCACAGCGGCCACTTTTTTTGGCGGACAGTCCATACATTGACTCTTGTTTAAACCTCTCTACAATGGCCACCTCTCTACAATGGTCACCTTTTTTTGGGCGGACAGTCCATATATTGACTCTTGTTTAAACCTCTCTACAATGGCCACCTCTCTACAATGGTCACTTTTTTTGGTGGACAGTCCATATATTGACTCTTGTTTAAACCTCTCTACAATGACCACCTCTCCACAGCGGTCACTTTTTTTGGGTGGACAGTCCATACATTGACTCTTGTTTAAACCTCTCTACAACGGCCACCTCTCTACAATGGTCACTTTTTTTGGTGGACAGTCCATACATTGACTCTTGTTTAAACCTCTCTACAATGGCCACCTCTCTACAGCGGTCACTTTTTTGGGTGGACAGTCCATACATTGACTCTTGTTTAAACCTCTCTACAATGGCCACCTCTCTACAGCGGTCACTTTTTTGGGTGGACAGTCCATACATTGACTCTTGTTTAAACCTCTCTACAACGGCCACCTCTCTACAATGGTCACTTTTTTGGGTGGACAGTCCATACATTGACTCTTGTTTAAACCTCTCTACAGCGGTCACTTTTTTGGGTGGACAGTCCATACATTGACTCTTGTTTAAACCTCTCTACAATGGCCACCTCTCCACAGCGGTCACTTTTTTTGGGTGGACAGTCCATACATTGACTCTTGTTTAAACCTCTCTACAATGACCACCTCTTCACAAATTGGTCACTTTTTTTGGTGGACAGTCCATACATTGACTCTTGTTTAAACCTCTCTACAACGGCCACCTCTCTACAATGGCCACCTCTCTACAATGGTCACCTTTTTTTGGTGGACAGTCCATATATTGACTCTTGTTTAAACCTCTCTACAACGGCCACCTCTCTACAATGGTCACCTCTCTACAATGGTCACCTTTTTTTGGTGGACGGTCCATACATTGACTCTTGTTTAAACCTCTCTACAACGGCCACCTCTCTACAATGGCCACCTCTCCACAGTGGTCACTTTTTTTGGGTGGACAGTCCATACATTGACTCTTCTTTAAACCTCTCTACAATGGCCACCTCTCCACAGCGGTCACTTTTTTTGGGTGGACAGTCCATATATTGACTCTTGTTTAAACCTCTCTACAATGACCACCTCTCCACAGCGGTCACTTTTTTTGGGTGGACAGTCCATACATTGACTCTTGTTTAAACCTCTCTACAATGACCACCTCTCTACAGTGGTCACTTTTTTTGGGTGGACAGTCTATACATTGACTCTTGTTTAAACCTCTCTACAATGACCACCTCTCTACAGCGGTCACTTTTTTTGGTGGACAGTCCATGCATTGACTCTTGTTTAAACCTCTCTACAATGACCACCTCTCCACAGCGGTCACTTTTTTTGGTGGACAGTCCATACATTGACTCTTGTTTAAACCTCTCTACAATGGCCACCTCTCTACAGCGGTCACTTTTTTTGATGGACAGTCCATACATTGACTCTTGTTTAAACCTCTCTACAATGACCACCTCTCCACAGCGGTCACTTTTTTTTGGTGGACAGTTTTGACTCTTGTTTAAACAGTCCAATGGCCACCTCTCCACAGCGGTCACTTTTTTTGGTGGACAGTCCATACATTGACTCTTGTTTAAACCTCTCTACAATGACCACCTCTCCACAGCGGTCACTTTTTTTGGTGGACAGTCCATACATTGACTCTTGTTTAAACCTCTCTACAATGACCACCTCTCCACAGCGGTCACTTTTTTTGGTGGACAGTCCATACATTGACTCTTGTTTAAACCTCTCTACAATGACCACCTCTCCACAGCGGTCACTTTTTTTGGTGGACAGTCCATACATTGACTCTTGTTTAAACCTCTCTACAATGGCCACCTCTCTACAGCGGTCACTTATTGAGTGGACAGTCCATGCATTGACTCTTGTTTAAACCTCTCTACAATGGCCACCTCTCCACAGCGGTCACTTTTTTTGGTGGACAGTCCATACATTGACTCTTGTTTAAACCTCTCTACAATGACCACCTCTCTACAGTGGTCACTTTTTTTGGTGGACAGTCCATACATTGATTCTTGTTTAAACCTCTCTACAATGGCCACCTCTCTACAGTGGTCATGTCCATACATTTCCATAAAGAATTAGTTGAGAGAATTTATTAAAAGATCGGAGCATTTTCCCTTAGGTGATCATTTTATTAATTCTCATAACCTTTTCTCTTGATTGTGTATTGATATTGCTAAGGAGAAAATAGATGTTGGTCACTCTTGGGACTTAAAAGGGTTTTAAACTTTCCTTGCAGAATGATGACCCAGACGGTATGAAGAGGCTGTGGGATGTTTTTGCCAACCTCTCCCTTACAGGAGAAAACACACTTGCTTGTACCCCTTCAATACATTTAGAGGTACTGTATGTATCATGAAGGAAGACAATAGGGAGCTTAAGCAGTGACGACGGCAACAGCTACAAAAACATCACTTAAAAAGTGAATTTGCACTGCTTCAAACTTTATGATGCTTATTCTATCTCTTTTAATTCGTCAAATGTTGGCAAATTTTGTCGGAGTGGAATTCTAAAGAACTATATCAAAATTCAGGAAAAGAAAAAGAAAGTTGTTGTCTAGCCTGAATTTCATCCGATTACTTCGAGTCTTTATTACTCCTTCAGTAATGTCTGAATTGACCGGCCGTTAATGGCGTCCAGTGACGTCACTACTCCTTTGCTTTAATTCATGCAAAAAGTAAAACACGATTTTCGCGTGGCAAGCCAAGAAATATCATTTGGAAATGTTTACATGATACAGAACAGCTGACAGAATTGCTTTACTTTTTTTGATCGAAATTCATGTTTAATGTTCAAACTATCAACTGCATGCAGTACTCTGAACCGGTTGTAATTCAAACTCGGTCACAATCACGCAATGAAATAAATACACACTCAGAACTCTTAGTTCAAAAACACAACAATTTCCTTTAATTGAAAAGAAGCTATTTGGTCCTTAACAAAGACAAAAGAAAACAAGGAAACAAGAAAGAAAAGCTAAAGTCGAATGACAACATGACATTGGTCTCAGAAACTTCGCATAAACAAAATCACTGCGGAAACCACAAAGCAGCTCTAAATGAAAAACCTACTGACTCTCCACAATGATTCTTCATTCGCAGTTCAATGTAGCAATTCAGTTTCGAAGACAAAGGCAATTTTGCTGTTTACGATAAAGATTATCGAAATGTTTGAACTCCATGGAAGCATGCCACCAGAGCGATCCGCTACACATCAAGCAACAATCCCGCTAAAATTTCTCATAATTATACATAATGACGCGAATGTTTAGACAATCAACCAATCAAAATCACTACCTGGTTTTTGGGTAGTAGTGACGTCACTGGACGGCATTAACAGCTGGTTGATTCAGACGTTGCTGAGAGGAGAAAATGACTTGAGGCAATCGGATGAATTTCAGGCTAGTTGTTGTCTTGTGTTCACGTCCTCAACAAAACGTGAAATTAACAACAACAACAACAGTTTATTTCTACTACTGTATACAACTAAAAAATATTATAAATAAATAAATAGACAGTACGTACAGTAGTGGGACACCCAAAATAACTAGAAAGCTAAACTAGTTGGGTGACCGTACCTATGATAATTAAAAATGTGAAAGTCAGATAGAGGCACAACAAATACATTGGTACTTATTGGTACTTGGTACTTGGTACAATTAATACATTGATATATAGGCACTTTCATGTTGTAGTCGTGCAACAACAGCCAAGAAATGTAGAAAAAAGAGTGATGTGGGTGCAGAGTAGTTGTTTTGCTAATCTAAACCAATTGCCTTTTTACCATTCTTGTTGCTGTTGCTGTTGTCGTTGCTTAACATACCTAATGTGTTTTAAGGGACAGACCATTAGAGAAACTTATGGGGGGAAAAGTACAAAAATATTTGTTATATTCCTAGACTTTCACTCAACTAAACAGGGACAGCCATTGGCTGATTCTTAGTCACGTGGCCTTGACTAAAATCAATTGTATCCCGATCGTGATACATTAGGCAATGTACCTCGCTCGGGATACATCAGAGCACGTGATCAGAGCATGGAGGAAAGTGGCGTGACAGAAGGCGGGAAAAACACTGCCAGTTTTCTTTTTCGTGAACAACAACACAAACATGAAGCCTCAAGCTAAAAAGCAACGATTTTCAAAGTTATCCTAGCAGCTAGTGGAGGAAAAAGATGCAGATAATATAAGGAAAGTACTTTGTAAATCATTCATTGAGTGGTTTTGAGAATTAAATTTGTGTTCTTATAAATACCGAGTCGTACTGTTTTGATTCACTCTGCTTAAGCGTATTCTTTTGTTGCTGTTGAAGTACGTTGAAGTGAAAGTCTAGAAATATAACAAAACACTTAATGTCAGGTCCCACGGGAAACCAGTTAGTTTTGTTTTCCCTCGAGTCCTGATGTTTCCCTCAACTTAGTCTCGGGAAACATCAGGACTCTCGGGAAAACAAAACTAACTGTTTCCCTCAGGATCTGTCATTAAGTATATCATACATTCGCACAAGGCAAAATTAAATGGAAAAAAAATTCATGCAACTCAAAAGATCCCCACCCCCACCCCCCATATTTTACTAATGGTGCATCCCTAAGTAACAGAGGACTGGGATGGGGAAAGGTGTAATGGGTAGAGGGGTGAAGGTAGTGCATTAAGTCTGGGTTCAGGGTGTAACAGGTCAACCATTTGCCTTTTGAGTGGGGGTGGATGGGGGGAGAGGGTGGGGTGATTTGGTTAAGGCAAGAATTTTTTCTCAAGGCTACTACCACTTTTCCTCTTTTTTGGTGCACAATAATGCATGACCTTTTAGTAATAATAAACCAACATTGTTTACAAGCACAATGCTTCTTTTTTTAAAGGATGTGACGGACAAAGTGGGTGAGCTGATACTCCCTGGAAGTGAAAGTGATGTGAGTATTGTAAGGAACTATTGTGCAGTTAACAAAGTGAAGAAACTACTATTATTCACTGGTAGTGAACTTTGAAACATATGAACATGTACAGGAACTCTGTACAGTGGTGTGAAAAATTGCTTGAAAGGGCAAGTTCCATTAGTAAACAAAACAGTTCAAGTAGGTAAATGTCTGTGATGTAAAGTGAGACTATATGTTGGCTTGTCTCATGAAGTACTAACCTTGAAACACCCCTAGGAGAGTTGGAAACAAGATATCTTTATTTGTATGATTGAACATCAAGTTTGTTCAGTTATTTTCAAGATAAATTGTTCGATTAACATGCTATTAAAAAATTTTTTCTCCTAGACTGATGGAACTGATGATAATAATCAAGAAAATGATCAGAAAGACAGCAAAGAGGAAAACAAAGATTCAAAAGAAGAAAGTACAGCATCTTCAATAACAGTCAAGGCTGTAAAAACTGCCTCAAGTAAAGCAGCTACGAAGAAAGAAACCACAGCAAAGCATACTCTAGCAAAGAATAAGGTCTCTTCATCCGAACCTACAAAACTTAGAAATACTCAGGGGACAACCGACTCTGATAAAGACAACAATGTTAGCCAGCAAAGAAGAAGAAGAGGCAGTGAGGTGAATTTGTACTGTAACTCCAAAAAGTGACCAGCATCATATTTCGTTTTACTTGTCACTACTTAATTCAACATAAACACTGTCATTGTGAGGTGGAACCTGACTACCGTATTTATTCGATTAACTGCCCTGGGCGCTTATTAAATTTTTGTACCTTGAGAATGAGCGCTTATTTGAGGTGGGCGCTTATTCGAGGGTGGGCGCTTATCAAATTTTCACCATTTTAAGCAAGTCAGGTATGTTTATTTTGCAACAAACAATAAATGGTAATAACAAAACGCAAAGATTTTACAAAGCAAGGTTTCTGTAAAATACTCTGAATAAACTTCGTCTTCGGGAAAGTCTCTTATTAGCACTTACTCAATTTCAATTTTAATCTCTTTGTCACTCAAGTCAATAAGTGGATTCTCTGGTGTTGCCTCCTCGAGGTCTGACATCGGGGGAGTGGGGTGGGGGTGGGCGCTTATCAACTTTTTCTGCCTTTAGGATGGGCGCTTATTCGAGGTGGGCGGTAATTCGAGGTTGGGCGCTTATTTGAATAAATGCGGTAACAACAAATGAGCGAGACATTTGCGTATGGAAGTGCCCACAAGAGTCTGTTCCTTTGGGCCCTTATATTTCATAATTAGAATTCCCCAAATAGATGATAACTGGAATCTACCACTGTCCCAGTTTAGGGTACTGCTTGAATTATATCACTTGGCTCATCACTCTCTAAACAGTCATCCTTCCCCATCAATCTTTTTTGATTGCTCAAACATTAAGTTGGGGTTTTACTTTTGTTTGTTCTGCTATTTTTTTGTTGTCGTTGCTCATATAATGTATGAGATTAATGATCAGTGAATGGTTGTTTTGATGAAACAGGAAGGCGGAAAAGCAACAGAAAAAGAAGCCACAATGTCTAAAACAAAGGCATCAAAAAAGGAAGAGGCAGGGAAAACATCTAGTGATGATACAAAGGTAAAAGAATCAAGATTGTTTTGGATGAAGTCAGGGGTGATTGTAAAGGCAGTGGGCCAGGGATTTTGTCTCCCAGGGTTTGTCTCTCAAAAGTTCTGGTAACTTACTGGGCCCAAAATCAAATGTTCAAATCAAAACCTGTTGAATAGTATCATGGTTCTTAGCTCAGTCAATTTTGTTTCGTTAACTGGTAGTTTCATTGTATCATTTTCAAATTTATTATATTTCTTGAATGTACACATGGCAAACTTTGCACAGCTTTCTGGGCCTGAAAACCCATCAGGACTTGATCAAAAAACAGGGCCAAGAATAGAAATGACGAGGGGAAAACGGACATTTTCCTTCTGTATTTTTGCCTATGGGCAAAGTCCTCCATCATGGCCCTTAGTGATGGCTACATCTTGTACTGCTAACCACATATCCTAGGAAAATTGTCAAAGAAAAAACTGTGCCTGAGTGGTTTGAAGAAAACCATGGGGTTCAAAAGTAAGTTTCAACCTGGCAGGAGGCATTTAATTAACAGAAATCTTTCTACACTAGTATAAAATTAAAAAAAAAGTACTTCACAATTTAATTTTTTTAAATTGCTTTCAAACCTAGACTTTCTTATACCTGTTAAGCACTGGCTTACAGAAAATGAAGAAGAGATGATTTTTCCCCCTGTATCTTTATTACTCTTGATTTCTTTCCTAACAGGTAGAAAATCGCATTTGTGTCACCAAACATGATGGTGTTTATCTGCTCATAGTGAATGCCCATACAGTGGATAAAGATGAAAATCCAACGAAAGATTTTAAACTGAGTTGTAAGTAACAAAAACTCCATCAATGATCCAAAGTGCACGTAGTAAAGATGTGAGGCCCGACCTCATATCTTAACATTATAATGCTGTTCACTGTAAACAGAATAAAGGCATGTCGCACAGGCTATAAAAGTGAACTGTTACAGGTTTCTTCACTGACTAAAAGAAGGAATCAGGAAAATGGGACCTGGTATTGTCTGTAGCAAACGAATGGCTGGTCCACACAGTATGTGGCAAGGCATGCAATACCATCACTGATGCAATCAAGGAAATCCAAAAAAATGGCATCCTTGATGTGTTCTCATGCCAAATAATGGGCTCTTTTCTTCTTGCAATAGTTATATTAAACACCTGATACATACATTAATTTTTTTCCCCATGCAGTACATGTTGAGATGAAAGGAGAGCATGGATACCTCTCAGCTTCTGATTGGCCTCTTTATCCGGTAATGTGATGCTGTAGTTATATTTTAAGTTATGTATTCAAATATTTCATTTTGTTTGTTTCTCATTGGTGAGAGATACAACAAAACCAGTCATATTGTGTCAGAGCTGTTATTTAAGGGCTGTATAAACCCATAACACGGGTCTGTTATGGCTGAGCTCACTTGATGTTACGGTTGATCAAAGTGGAAGGCTAAAGATTCCACTTTAGATAATTTTTGTGAGAAGTTAAGGGTGAATCTTCATTTACTACAGCTGCTTCCAAACTTAATGACGGCCCTGTGTGTAATTCGCTGGTTTGTTATTGTCCAGTGTAGACTTAAGGATATAAGTCACTGAAATATGGATGTAACAGCTGGAAATTAAATGGAGGCCGTCATGAACACAGATGAATAACTATTGTTTTGGTGTATTGTTTTTCTAGTTTTATGGCGTCATGTCGCTGCTTTATGTTTTCTACGGTGTGGTGTGGCTTATTGTGTCTGCATGCCAGTGGAGGGATTTGCTGAGGATACAGGTAATAAAAAGCTCTTATTGAATGTTTCCTAAGGACCAATTAAGCTGTTTTTACTCCTGCTACACGTGATTTACACTGTAGTGCTGAGCAATTTTTAAGTCTGAGAACAAAATCATGTGCTGTGACCATTCAAATGAAACCTCTTTTTCAGTGCTTTTTATGGTTACGTTTGTTTCTCTTTTGGTTTTCTTTGTTTGTTTTTTTTTTACAACTTTGATATTAGCTCTGCCATTTTCTCACTTTTAATGTCATCATCCTTTTCACTGAAAAGAGGCTTCAGGGCTAAGAATGAATTTGGAACTGTTTCTAGTCATGTTGATCAGCCAAGGAAGTTTTAGTTCAGTCATGTCTCTTATCCGACCAGTCAAAATGTTAAAAATGACACGATAATAACTTGACCATACTAGATTAACAAGCAAAAACATAAAGGGAAAAAAGATGCTTGTCCTTCTGAAAATTAATGGTGTGAAAATGTATTTTTTTTCTCTGGTTGCCTATTTAAGTGTCCGGTCAAAATGACTGGCACACAAAAGTTTGCACAGACAAATAGTCATCTTGGCCAGATGTTATTCTTTGATCAACCATTGTTTTAAACCCTGGGTCTTCTAGGAAGTCAGGCTGATATTGTAAATGACCAGAGATATTCCCTGGTATCGTTATACCAGGGAAATAATTATTATGACTGGCATACTGTAAAATTCCGAAAATAAGCCCCTCCAAATGTAAGCCCCCCAAACCGGTAATGTAAAAAACCCTCCGTTAAATCGCCCCTCCAAAAAATTGGAGGGATTGGGAAAATTGCCCTCAGATAGAAAGTAAAACAAAGCAAAAATGGTAACTTTACTTCCAACTATAAGGCTAGCCCAATCGATTTTGAAACACGAATTTCCCTCCATAGATAATCCCCTCCGAATATAAGCCCTTCCAAAAATAAGCTCCCCTAAAAAAGGGCCTTTGAAAAATATAAGCCCCGGGGCTTATTTTCGGAATTTTACGGTATTTGAACAAAAGGTCAATTTTCCCAACAAAAGTCCAGCTAGAATGAAATACAAATGTCATGGAGAGCCCTTGTGTACAGTTTGTGAAATAAACCTTCCAAGCACATGACAATATTCTTACTGAGATTAATGGTGACTCTACGTATTATTGAAAATTTCAGTTTTGGATTGGAGGTGTCATTGCATTGGGTAGGTTATTATGTTTTAAAGTACTTTAAAGCTGTATTATTGAAGAAGAAGAACCTTTATTAATTTATACCGCTCACGGTAGCCCCTTGAGACGCAAAAAGCTGTCTGTTATCAATGGGAGCCCTGAGCAACAACGCACAAAAACCACACTGAACATATAAACATTACACTAATACAGGTAATAATATAAATAGAAAACTATTTTCAATTAAAAGATTAAAAGATGTAAAACACGGAATATCATTTAGATAATTCGTTAAAAAGAGTGCAACCATAATAATAGAAGGATCTTTTTGCAAATTGTTGTTTCTAATTCATGCATCACATTGTGAAAGTTTTTTTGTGCGTTATTGAAAAGACATTTTGTACAATAATGTACAATTTGAATAACAGCCAGGAATTTCATTTAAGGCTTAGGTATGGGAAAAATTTAGCCAACATCAACACACAATGAGATGTTGGAGACTTGAAGTTCAAGAGATTAGGGTTCCAGCTGTATCTGGAATAGCCATCTATGTGGTTTTTCTAACAATATCTCTCTCTTTTAGGTATGCTGGAGAAAGCTGTGTTCTTCTCTGAGTACAACAACATTAACATAACTGGTGAAACAAGTATGTCATAGAACTGTCTTGTCTTCTTTGAGACCTTGAAATTTTTTATTTCCACCACACACTGTTCGATTTTCTGTCTCAAGGCTCAGAGGTTGAATGCATAATATGTCACCATTAATGTAGGTATCAATGTTTGGACGGAGCAGGGAGGGGATACTGGCATAGTTGTAGCATTTGATTTTCCTAATCTTTCTTCTTTTTTTGCAATTTTTTGGTCAAATTCCTGACCCTTGGGACTAGAAAATAGCTCAAGTTTGATGAAATACCCCTTTTTGGGCATAATGAAATCACAGTTTGGGGCAAACTTTGTGGTTTAAATCTCTAGAGAGGGGACAAAGAAAGTGTCCAAGTGCCACACCTATGCCCTCACACGTACCCCCCTCTCCTTCTAAACACTGATATCTGCATAATGAATCTGTGAGTGAAAGAGTAAACATAGTTTTCTCACATTTTATTGTATAACCATGTACCTGTTTAATTCACAGATCCGGCTTTAACCATCTTTGCTGAGCTTGTATCCTGTGTGAAAAGAACACTGGCCCGTATCTTGGTCATTATAGTCAGTATGGGCTTTGGCATTGTGAAGTAAGCATCATAACTCCGCCACTTTTTCATTAAGCTGTCATTATAACAATTCATAGACATGTACGTATGGATAGATTGAAACATGGATTAGCCTTTGATTTCATGTTCACTTTTCCTATTTTTTCAGACCCAGACTTGGTACAGCTCTCCACCGGGTTTTGGGTGTCGGTGGTTTGTACTTTATTCTTGCCGCAATAGAGGGTTGCTTCAGATCTCTTCATGTAAGTACAGACTAAAATCTTCTTCAGGATTAGATTAGTCAGTTTAACACTCAACATTGTAGAGAGGGAGATCAAGGGTTCAATTGCCAGGACTGGGCCAATACTCAGGGTCTTAAAACAACTGAGAAATGAAGGTACAGCCTTTGCCCTGCAAATGGCTAAACCTTCCTTTGGTTCATATGAAAAATGGCCATCCCATTTACAGTAATTGTTTACAGTGGGAGATGTAAAAATAGTGTCCCCACACTTTTGTGCTAAATACATTGCCACCCAAATATAACTTGCTTTTTTTCATGCATTAAGATACTCTCAAACTTTTATAGAGGCGTGAGGTCTATTTGTCCTCGCTATTTTACATTTTTCTTACCTATAGCCACAGGCTTGTAGTTTCTCTTTTTAGTTGTGTGGAGGTTGAGAGGATAAGACAATAGTGACATAAACACCAAAGATTTAAAGTCTTCATTTTTTGGCAATTTCTTTATATCATAAGAAATAATTTATACAGAGAATTGTGAGGAGGATATTGATGCTGATATTTCCTTTCCAGCCCAAGTCAGACCCTGGCAGACAACAGCTCATCGCCAGCGTCCCATTGGCTGTTCTTGATGCTTCTATTTGTTGGTGGATTTTCATGTCGCTAGTACAGACCACAAGAACTCTTCGGATCCGACGCAACCTGGTCAAACTTTCCTTGTACCGACATTTCACTAACACTCTCATTTTCGCTGTTCTTGGTAAGCATGGGAGAGGAATACACACCCCCCGCCCCTTCCTCCAACAGGCACAAAGAGACCCCTGCTTGGGGGGAGAGGAGGGTCACATTTAGCTCCTTCATCCTTGCTAGAGGTTCCAGCAATTAACACAGTAAACTCAGCAATATCCACAATCTGAACACCATGTACATGGCACCAAGCTGCAAGATTTGCTCTGAACTAAACAATTTATTGGGTTTATATTTGGCACACATCAAGCATGTTGACAAGAGTTTATAACTTGATTTGTTTTTCAATTCTGACCACAAGCTGTCAGCCTGTTAGTAAAATTTGATGTACATATTATTTTGTAGCATCTGTGGCTTATATGATCTGGTCCATCAAGACTCACAGATTTGCCAAGGATGGTTGTATCACAGTAAGTTTCTTAAACTCGTTAAGCCCTACATGCGGTACAAAATCTCCAGACTAATCTCAATTCCTTAAAGAATAATTGAGCGAATTTGAAAGCATTTCCCTTTTGATGATCATTTTCTTAACTCTCTTTACGTTTTCTCTTGATTATGTATGAATATTGTTAAGAGGAAATTGGTGTTAAGCAAGCAAAAGTAAATGATAAGATTCAACTACAGTTCCATTCACTGGAATCAATTTTTACTTTTCTTTCCTTTTTTACCAGGACTGGTCCGAGCTATGGTTGGATGAAGCTTTCTGGCATTTCTTGTTTTCAATTGTTTTGTTAGTGATCATGGTTTTGTGGCGACCTACAGCAAACAACCAGAGGTATACGACAGCCGTTTGTTTTAAGAGAATCTTTGTTTACATTTACGTAATCTGTTTTTGTTTGTTTGTTTTTTGGCCAGAAATGCTCAGAGAAGGCAATGCATGCTATAAATTGTATGTAAGCATTATCCATGTTTTCACAGATACGCCTTTACTCCTATCGTGGACTTTGGTGATGATGACGAGGATGATGATAACATGACTTTGTCAGATGCATTTGGTGAGTTTTACCATTATTAAAACTTTCAACTCTAATTGTAATCAATTTCGAAAAAATTCACAATTCCAAAATTTCTTTGCACCATAACGTGGTCTGTCTAGAAAGAAAAGGGTTGATCTGACTGCGTCTTAAGGCCCTAGCAAAAGTGAAGTCATTATATTTGTCGATTTACGTATTTTCAAAACTTTCTGTAACTTGCGTTTCCGTTCGGCTGTTTCCTTGTCTTTTACAGATGGCATGAAGATGAGAAATGTTAAGAACGTTCCAGAAGTATTCATTAATGGAGAATCCAAAAGAAAGAACAAACCAGTAAGTCAATCGTGTCAACTCTACAGTGCGTCAGTATTTTTTTCTGTAGCACAAAGCCAATGCGAAAGGGAGTAATTTTTGTTTTTTATTGTCCCAAAGGAAGATGACCTGAAATGGGTTGAAGAGAACATCCCTAGCTCTGCTGCCGATGCGTAAGTGATTCTGTTATTAAGTAGAACTGTCAGTTAGGATCTGTTATCCCTTAATTAGTACAGCGGACCAAGTTCTTGTGCTTGATACCCTGCGAACAGAGGTTTCTCTCTTGCATGGCTTTTAACGTTTACAAAGTCGTTCGCGTCGCATGTCAGTCGAAAACAAATGTGCGACTGACTAGCGACGCGAACGACTTTGTAAACGCTAAAAGTCATGCAAGAGAGAAACCTCTGCTGGGAGGGCAAGTGTTTAGGTTAAGCTGTGGCCAAGTGGGTGTTCTGTGGTTACTAAAAGTTCTTCTTTTTTTTCCACTCAGGGTTTTACCGAGTGTGCTGGACTCTGACGAGGTAAGATTGTACACTCACCAACCCGTCCCTTTATTTGCCTGCAACTGGTCAATTTGAAAGCGAGTTTTGTAAGGTATTTACTTGTGTAAATCAAGAGCATTGAACGGTATTATATGCATTCATTTTCCTCCTAGGAACTTATGACCACAAAGTTTGAGATGTCGAAAATGGAATGAGAGAGAGATTTAACATAGATACAAATGGTATGTTTGGTATTCTTTTTCGTGTTTAGATAATCATGCTTTTGAGTAGGGAGCTTAGCAACGTAGAAAGCGACAGTGACGAGAACGTCTAAGAAGCAATAGGTTTTATGAACAACACAACAACTCTGCACGTGCATCACACTTTCTCATCGGCACATTTCTTTTCCTTACCCTCGACGGCTGACTTTGAATTCTCTAATACAGCAATTTATGAAGGACGTTAAAACATAACAGCAAATTTTTGTTTCGTTTCTCAACCTGGGAATGGTTATTAGGGATTTAACTCCAACAAAACTTACCCTCAGTTGTATTAGCCACTTTAGAAACGCCGGGAGAAGAAAACTCAGCCGAGTGAACTTTTGTAAAGACTTCTGGGAATGTTGTTTGGATAGGTAAAAAAAACACTGGCCAATAGAAAGTTCGGCAGCGAAAACGTCACTTTTAAAATGAACTCGCGTTTTTTCAAACTTTGTCGCGTTTATTCCAGATTGCTGGAAATGTCAAATGAAGGCGAATTTCCCTGGAGTTGATTTCTTGGGGACCACACTCAAGTTTTGAAAGAGAAAGAAAAATTCGTTGTCGCTTGTTTACGTCCTCCATAGGGATTTTCACGCCGTAGTCGTGCGGTGACGCAAAGAAATGTGCAAAAAAAGTATGCTGCACGTGCAAAGTTGTTGTTTTGCTAATCAAACCTATTGCTTGTTTGACGTTCTCACTGCTGTCGCCGTCACATTTCGGTTCTAGTTTATACTTGTCGTGTCCAAAGTAGCGTGTTGAGTGACCTTCAATATGCAATGAAGTCTGGAAAGACGTCGTCTTTGTTCAGCCTTCAAATTTGGTGGTAATGACTGTCTGTTTATTTTCAGGTTAACAAGCAAATTGCCGTTTATTGACTACTGATGCGTGGCTTTATGGTAACTTATACCATGCGCTGTCCTGTTGAGGACACGTACATTTGTTTTCGTAGTCATGGTAGCAAACAATTTATCGTTACTGCACTGAACCCTAAATTTGGCCCCCTTAAGTGTGAAAGCTTGTAATGAAAGGAGGCTTTTCAAAAAGTATTAAAAACCGAGCTATTTCTTTTACATTTTCAATATCTATCAAACCAGTATTAAAGGGTTCGAAAAGAAAGGAAGAGAAGGCAAAGGAAATATAACTGTGGCAAAAAGAAGTATTATATCTTGCTGTTGTTTTTGTATGTCGGTAAACCACATAATTCAACTCGCGTTAGTTCGTATTTTAAATACTAGCTCACAACTTCATGGGTACGACGACTTGCAATAATAAATGTTTTCCTTTATACAAATTTTAAAAGAAATTCAGGAGTTATCTAGAAAAAATGCAAGATATGTAGTAAACAGCTATGTAAAGTATCGCTGTTATTTTGCTTCCACGTTTTAATTTGATTTCTTTCATAAAATGCGCTGCTTCTTACCACTGTTTTCTCGTATCGTAAATGTGGCAAGATGATAATGACAAGCAACATAAACAGCTACTTTCCTACCTAATTTTATTCAAAGTAAATTAAAATTATTTATATTAAAAAACAAAACGCGCTTTGCACATACGGTGACAATAATCAGGCTCAGTAAAAAGTGAGTTGAAAATTTTCTTTCTTTTCTGGGGCTACCTTGCAGCTGTCAGTATTTGTTGGGAAAAGCCCGAACACAAAAAAAGTACGACGTATACGGGTCTAATTAAATTAGAGGTTCTTAAGAGCTGCAAGTGTAGTAATTTCTAAAAAAAAACGCTATTTGTAAATAGCTTAAGTAGCTGTTTGTTAGCGACATAGTAGGTTGAGTTTTGCTATTTTATGAGTATAGTTTCTTTCCCAGGAGTAACCAATATCTAATAAACAGTACCACAGGGAAGTACTGCTCAGTAGCTTTAATATGACACGTCACGCTGCAAGTAGCCTGTTCACAGACCCTCCATTTTCTCTTCGAAGTTCGTCGAGCGCGGGTGATAAAATATAAACCACAAGGGATTTATTGACCGACAGCGCAAAGGGGTTCGCGCGCTCGCTTCGCTCGCCGATGTTTTCGAAAAGAACGGAAAGAAAAATAAAGCAACGTCTGTGTACAGGCTACACTGCAGGACTTCATCCACAGAGTTGAAACCACTTTGATTTGAATAGTAACTTTTGCGAATATCAAAATTATGTTTACAATACAACATTGCCCATTATATTGATTCTAGGAGTTACAGGGTTAACAAGTAATAACAAAATGGATTTTTGAACTAATTTGTCAAAAATAACCAGTTTCATGAGACCTTCTGGTAATCTAGAACTCGGTTTTTTAGATTCCTTTACGTTGAGCAAGCTTGCACAAGTGTTCTCCAAATTAACAATGTAATATTTATACTTCGTTGTAACGTTATTTGTGGGCTCAGAAATTGAAAATAAATTTTGTTTAAATGGCAAAACTCTGTTTATCAGAGCGTGTTGCTCTTTAGCCTGAGACCAGCTCCTTAGGGAGGAAAATTGGCGAATAACGGGGAAAGCACGAAGAAGAGGCGACGGAACCAAGTGACCCTTGCTACCCGATTGTCTTCGCCCCATCAATCACCATTTTTCTCCACCAAGGATTCCCTAGTCCCTCGCTTGCCTTTTTCCCCCACCAATGAGCCCGTGGTACCAGACTGGGGTAGGTGCGTGGCGTAACGGTTATATATTGGTTGGACGTTTCTTGTAAGCGAGAGAGATGTGTATGGCTATGTAGGGCGATGTAGAGCTATGTACGGCTATGTAGGGCAATTTACAGCTACGTAGGGATGTGTATGGCTGTGTACGGCTATGTAGGGCAATGTAGAGCTATGTACGGCTGTGTAGGGTAACGTAGAGCTATGTAGGGCCATGTAGGGTTGTGTATGGCTGTGTACGGCTATGTAGAGCAATGTAGAGCTATGTACGGCGATGTAGGGCTATGTAGAGCTATGTACGGCTATGTAGGGCAATGGAGAGCTATGTACGGCTATGTAGGGCAATGTAGAGCTATGTACGGCTATGTAGCCAGGCCAAGGAGCTTATTAACATTGGGTAGGGCTATGTAGAGCTATGTACGGCTACGGCTGTGTAGGGATTTGTACGTCTGTGTAGAGCTATAGAAGTTAATGTAGCGTCTCGCTTAGAAGAATATGATATCTACGCAGGCTGGTAGCGCTTGCAGTCACGGGATGTAAGTGTTTTGGTTTAATCTTATCCTTGGTTTTAATTTCATTTTCGTTTGGTTTTGGCTGTGTTTATGTAAGGCAATGACCAAGGAAAACAAAATTAATCCAGGTGAAACTTAACAACGACCGCCAGATGCAAAGGGTCATTTTACGTTTCTGGGAAACTGCCTACCTACCCCTCCCCTAAGGGAACATTTTCCCCCAAGTGATATGTTGGCTTATTTCGGGGAGGGGTATGTGAGCAGTTTCCCAGAAACGTATACTACCTACTACACTCAATTACCAGCAGTTGTTCGGGAAAATGAGACTTGAATGTATCAAATTAAATTTATGCATGAAATAAATTAAGGCTAATTCATGCATTCAATAACTAATTTAAATTTTATATTGTGTAATTCTATGCAAATTTATGTATTGAATAGCTAGATGTTATTCATTAATTAAATGAGGGTAAATTTTTGAGTTCAATAACCTCTGTTATTTGGATTATTGCATGCAAATTTTGCATTGGTTTCAATACGATGGATGGAGCTAAGTTCGGGGATGGCTCAGGGGTTAAGAAAACACACCTAAAAGAGACCGTACTAGTACGGGGGAAAAGCATTGAAAACCTTAACTAAACAAGTGAATGATAGCGCTTTGGTACTTTTTCCTTGGGCAAGTGAACTTTTCATCTGTTTTGATAAGTGATTAATATCGCGTGCCAGCAATTTACTTGAGATTTGCGGCAAAGGCAAATTAAAAGATCGGAAGTGAATAGGGCGGTGGATTAGTAGAGATTTCGCGGATCCTCGCCATCAACAACAAAACACAGAAAGACAGCTTATTTTTGATGTAGAATTTTAAATATAGCTCAACAGCCACTTGAAAGGGAACTTATTTATGACCAAGTTCTCAAACACGTTTTTACTAGAATTCCTTGATTAACACGTGGGAGAATTTTGTTGCTTCAAGAGTGTGTATAATTTTCACTCACTGAATCTGCACAAACTCTAATAACTGATTAAAATAACCTTATATGATGTAAGAAGAAGACGTTATTTTTCAACTACAAGCTATAACCGCGGCTTGTATTTTTAGAAATTACACAAATACATTTTGCATTAGTTTTCAATCGGCGTCCAAGAACGCACAATTTAATAAGACTTAAGGGCTAAGCTTTTAATACACGGAAACACATTTTAGTCAGACTTGTTGTTATAAGCCACTTTTCCAGTTTTGAAAATCTATCGCGCAAACAAACAATTATTTTGTTAGCTCTAGATTTAACCTACTTGCTGCTTTTAATCTTATCATCGGCGCGAGGTTTCCTTCATGAAACCCATTCTTATCGAATTCCTAATTTCAAACAAAAATATATTATCTTAGTTCACCATATCTCAACAAAATCCTTAGTTTTGGGGGTTTCATTTTTTTTAAATAACAAGAAATAGATAGGGTCACGTTCACCCAAAAAGGATCAAAAAAGCACGTAAACTTTTCGAGTAAAATTGTCATAAACGATACACAAGATCTAGTGCCGTCGAAGGCTAATTTTAGTCCGTACTCGGCATTTCTAACGTTCAGACTATCCTCGTCTGCAGAGCCACTCGGCTTAATTGGACGAGAATGCGTTCAGACTATCTGGAAGTATATGGTTTTGCGTAATTGCGCATGCGTCAAAGGTAAGTGAGAGAGGGAACTTTTGCGTCTGGTTTTGTTAAAATCCTTAGGTGAAAATCAAAGTTTAGAAGCATTTTATCTCTATGGCGAGGTAAGTATTTTTTGCGAGAAAAGTTTTGGCAGCGATATAAGATCAGGTGAAAAGTGTTAACCTTTAAAGTTTCTTTGGACAGGTCTTAAAAAGAAAGCGTATTTTTGACTATTGTTAGCCATTTAACCTTACCAGAGGTCTTTAACGCAAGGTTAATATTGTTGTTCCAAGCTATAAGAAGCTAATTTTCAAAGCTGGGGTTAAGGTTAATACTGCATGTAGCCAATTTGGCTTAACATATATTTAGACAACAAGTCACCGAAATCTTACACCAAAAAAAAAAAATTGCAAAATTTTGGAGTGACCAACAAAGAGTATTATGGTATGACGGCTAAAAACGGCTGTGTAGCAGACTAACGGGCGCTTTCCATTCAATAAAAACCTCCAGCTTGAATTTTCGGCAACTTCCAGAAGCAAATGGGACACGGCACTTTCAAAAATTTCCAAAAAAGAGGACAACTGGTACACCCAAATTTTGAAAATTTTCGTCCCGAAAATTTTCTTCCCATGTCACTTTGCTACCGGAATTTCTAGAACTTTCGGTTAAATGGTTCGCATTTCAGAAAATCAACAGTTCTCGGACTTTCTGAGCTTTTCTCGGGAAATTCCCGTACCATTCAGCACCGTCTCCAAATTTTCGGAAGTTTAGGTCGAAAGGAGCGAAAGCGCCCTAGGTAAACTTGTGCCTACAAAACAAAGAATAGTCTACAGCTTCATTGGTTCTTACACGCGGGGGGGGAGGGGGGGGTGGGGGGTGCTCAACAAAGTTTTATACGACTCCTTACCCTTTTATATAGCCTTTTTCGCGAAAAAGGTACTCCTTTCACATACCTCTTTGAGAACTTTGCATCCCTCTTAACTGCTGTAAATGCATTGTCATTTAAATAGGAATCAATCACAAAAATATAAAGTTTTCCCTACATTATAAAGCCATAAAATTCATCTGTTCGGCCCTTTGGGCCATTTCACAGACCCAAATGACAGATTTCCCTACCCTTTCATATACCTGAAGCCTGAAAAAGATACCCCTTTTGGCGGAGCCTCCGCGTATAGGCCATTACAGGAAGTACCCCCCTCCCCCCGGCTCTTACACCAAGGAAAACCCACAATTTGGGCTTTGATTTATACCGAGGTAAAATTTTACTGAAAATAAAGCCCAATATTCCATGAGTTAGCGTTAAAATTTGGCTTCTCTTTTAGCTGAAATGGCCACTTAGAAATTGACTAATATGTGAATCCGGGAAATTTTTGCTTGTGGAATGCGGAATCCCGGAAATTTTTCTTTTAGGATCCGGAATCCTGGGCTTTGGAATCCGGAATACAGTTCGAGGAATCCGGATCGCACTAACGACTAGAATCCGGAATCCCAGTTCCACTGACAAAGAATCGGCCGGAATCCAGTGTCAGGTATCTGGAATCCAGAATCCAAGACTGTCTAGGGTTCCCTTGTATGTGGCGAAAACTCGTATTCATAGTTAACATAACGTTTTTCAATCGCCATTTTTCTTCGCTCATTACATCTTACACAGAGCCCCTTCGTTGTCATCAAACACGGCACCAGCTTCATAAAAAATGTTTGCTGTTTTTATTTGGAGCGGAGTTAGAGTAAAAGACAATGTTCTTCAAAAATAAACAGGAAGTAACTGACCCAACTACGAAGAAAAAAAAATCAAGGAATGAGGCTGAAGATCCCTCAGGGGTACCGTAGAGGGATTGACCCAAAAAAGGGTATAGGAATCTGTAGCGACTAGCCTACTAATCATACAGCCGTTGCCTTAAGTTAAGGACAGCACACTCTGAGTTAGAAAACATTTCCGAAAAATGGCAAAATACACGATCTGCCATCTCTTTACACTGTACTAAAATTTAAGACAAATGTTTGGGAAAAGCTCCTTGCAGTAAATCGTTTGCCCTGTAACAGACAGGTATCCTGGGACGTTCCTGGATAAGGAAGTGTCTCCATTTCCATCCGGGTAAGTATTTCAATACTTTTCCGGATGACGTGACGGTGACGCAATTTGACAGTTTTAATACTTACCCCGATGGAAAAATTGTTTGCGCTGCTAATGCGGCGAGCGTGGATAAAGTAACATGACCTCTCTAGTTTGACAGAGAGGGTAAAAAGGTCGATACAGTCAAAATTCATTTTTGGAAACTTGAACAGTCTGACTCTAAATCTAAAAAATGTATCTTCTGTTATGCCATTATGTCTGCCGGCTTCTATAGTGTATTAAAGAGTAGTTTATTTGTAAATTTCGAAATAAGAATTACTTGTTCCACGATAACAAGCTGACACTGAATTTTGTAGTTATGTTACTCAAAAGAGAGATACAAAATTCCCTGAGCCAAATAAGTCACTCTGTATATAACAATGCGAAATGTCGCCGTTTCTTTAATGCCAATTAATGGGCGCAGTCTGTTTCTGTGAAATACATATAAAAAACCGTGGAGAAGAATTGCGGTAAGCAATCTTGGCTTGCGCATCGCTCATCAGTTTTCCGTCCTGCTTTCGTAGCTTCCTTGTTTGTAGCAAATCGATAGGTTATCTGATTAGCTGGACAGGTACAAACGATAGGCAATAGACCAAGAGAAAAGAATTGAGGAAAAAGTGGTTTCAGCGAAACCGGCGTTTTGAGCTGAAACGCGTATTGCCAATGCAGAAACAAGGTCGCATGCAGTATTTTATTTAGTGTTAAAAGCTATCCGTGAACGCTGAGACGGAAGAAATTGACTCTGTACAGTATAAAGGAATTCACTGCTCTACGTGACCTATGGTCCAACGACATCATATATAAGAGAGCAAGGAAATTGCAGACTTCAGTTGGTTAAAAAAACTTGACCAAAAAAGTGGAGACGTTCTCAAGATCCTCTGAAGAGGAGAAGGCCGTTCAGAAAGAAGCGAAAGAGAAAGCTTTGCTGAAGTCATCATGTTTAACGTAAGTAATCGCTGTTTCTTGCGACTGTTTAGAATACGTTAAGAAATTCTAATCTACGCACAAAAAACTCATTTTATACCAGGATTGAAGAGAGATAACGATGCTCCCAGACTCTTTCTAATGTGTCGCCCATGTGTCAGTTTTAACCCTCAGCTCTGAGCCCTAAGAGTGATCAGCATAAAATTTCTCCTTATAACATCAACGCTTTGTAAAACGTAGCGTGGTCATGAGAATCACGGACAAGATCACACAAGATGAATTTGCTTGATATTTTATCAACTTCTCCCCACTACTTCTGTAGGTAATGAAAAGGGACAACAAATGAGAATTCAAATTTTGGTCTTATGGTTTAAAGGGCTAAGGAAATGGATGTTCCAATTTATCTTGGGTATTATAAAAATATATATACTTAGAAACTGAAAAGATCAAAGAATTAACGGGTTATTCACAGTTTTGCAACAAGTTATTACAAAAAACGAGAAACGTCCTACACCTCATGATATTCAACGCGATCGAAGAAACTTTTAACACAAAATAAAATGTTAAAGTCAATAAACGCAAAAGTGATGTCTGAATTTGGTTCTCGACCCTTCACAACCTGACAAGTTCCTCTGCACAATAACACACCAATGGTACCAACAGGTCTCAATGATTTTAAAAATAATCTTTTACATTTTTATTTTAAAGAAACTATTTGTATTTGTGGCCAGAAGTTACTGTCTCCTGCTCTCTCTACTTGTATTAACAAGCTCCACTTCCGGAAATCCTTTATCCAGGGGTGACGGATCGGAGTCTAAGAAGGTAAGCTCTTCCTTTACTTTGCATTATACTTCCTGTTCCCTTCCCTCTCCTTTTCTTTCATTTAGGAACCTTCTGGATGTGGATATGGTCTCTTCCTTAATAATAATAACAACAATAATAATAATAATAATAATAATAATAATTAGAGTATAAGACTTTGATATTATTCTAAATAGGTTTTTAGTAGAGATAACTACATTATAATGGCCTCGTGTAGGCTTATAAAAGAAAATGGGAGTATAAAAACTGAATACTTTTCTAAATAGGCTTCTAGTAGAGATAATTATATCATCACATCTTTGCGTAGGTTTTACAGAGTATAAGAATTTAATAATATTCTAGTAGAGAGATTCATATCATTATGTATATTAGGATTGTATTAGGTTTCGTACCGAACTTTTTCTACTTCTAAGTATAGCTTCTTAATCTCTTAAGTGGTGTAGGTTACGTTATGCGCCCTATACTACTCATAATGTGGACAGCATTCCAAAGTTTTACACTGCGAGATAATAATAGTGATAATAACAATAATAATAGTACATGTAATAATAAAATCACACTAACTATTAAGTTCATATACGCGGGGTTTTGCTGCATTTTCAAAAAAAGACCATTGAAAGATGTATTCTCAGATAAGAGCAAAAAGAACCGCGTTACAAGTTGAACTGGCTGTTCTTCAGCCTCATTCACCTGAACTGCGGTACTGACATTTTAATTCTTGCTTGTCTAACACAGGTCGTGGATTTTAATATTCACGTTACTGAATCGGGAGAAGAGTACAACGAAACGATTGAAGTGAATACACGGAAGCAAACAGAGGTGTTTAAAGTTCCTGCTCACCCCGGTGTGGATCGCAGTGATGTCATGCATGACTTTAAACAGGTAATTATAAGCTCCACAACACTGTTGGATGTTACATGTTGCGTCAGTTTGCACACACTGTTGCATGTTGTTGTGTGTTGTTGCACAAAGTTTGAAACCGATCAAACTTTTAGCGGAGCTCTAGCGCGCGCAGCGGAGAACCATGGGTAAGAAAATCTGGTTACTATGCATCCTAGAAATTTTGGTTCCGACAAAATCGTTCGTGCGCACGCGCTTACGTCCATCCCTTCATGTAAGCTAGTCCGGTCGTGAGCGTCCAGAGTTCATTTCCTGCGCTAATGGCACATAGAATCGATAATGATAAGAGAAATTAGTTCTGTGAAAGGTTTGAACCCAGGAGTCATTTCAAAAGTAGGTTGAGTTTGATCGTTCGAGTGAACGTAGTCCTCAATAGGACTATTGTTGTTGACAGTGACTGACGTTTCGACAACCTGTGCGGTAGTCATCTTCAGAGTCAAAGTGAGTTGTGTCACGTCAGTTGATGGTATTATACTCTGGTTATTGATTTGATTGGTCAATTACGTCGTGACGTTATTGGTCGTCTGTCAGTTAAGCCGTGATGTTATTGGCTATGAAGACTCGTAATCAGTAATTAGTGCGTTTCGATCCGTCTATTGTCACAGTTAAACAGTTCACCAGTCAATTTTTCTAGTTATCTTTGATTAATTGTTTATTTTTTATTTACGTTTTTTTCAAACTCTTTTTCTGAATCTTACTTGCAGAAATTAACCATGATGAGAATTCCGGACAAAGGGATTTGCTATCTGATGCCTCTTCCAAAAGATTTGTCTGCCCCAGATAAACTCATTGGAGATCTTGAGAAAGCCTCCCAGGTCAGAAAATCATTTCTTTCCATGTCTACTCTCTGTTCCTCTCAAGAAAGCGTCCTCAAGCTTAAAAGGGACAAAGTCAGGCGATACATATGCGCATTAAATACTATTTCTTCCCTCGTTTGCTAGCGCTTAATACAAGAAGCGCGATTCATGCTGTTTTTAACATAAAAATATTCATAGGCAACCTCGTTCCCAGTCGTCCTCGGCGATTTCGGATGTGACGTCACCTGTCAAGCTTGTCGGCCTCCTCTGGTCACTCGGATAGCGCGAACAGGCCTGGGTACGAGGCTGATTCATAGGATGAGCATATCACTATTGACTGACAATGTGAACTGCGGACATTCAAATTTAAATAAAGATATGATCATGGCAGTGGTAATCGCAATTTAAGCAATTGCAAATCAGTAAAAATTTATTTGCAATTCCTTAAATTGCATTCTTACCACTGCGACGATCATATCTTTATTAAAATTTGTGTTTCCGCACTGAGTTCACATCATCATTCTATGTTTCATTCCTTTCACGGGTTAACTTAGCTCAACTCAAACTTAGCTCAATTAGTATAGCACTGCAGCGCTAATGCAGAGGACATGGGTCTGAATCCCGTTGAAGTCCCGACATTTTTTTAGGGCTAATTTGCAATTGCTTAAATTGCAATTTCTACTGCGACGAGTATATCTTCACATAAAATTGAATCACTGTTGTTATATTATTATAACTTTACTGACTTAAGACTTCTGACCTCCACTATACATGTAGCCGGACATTAACTTAACGATCATGCAATCCACCAGGGAGTTATCGACAAGGGAACGCGTATTGACAGCACATGGATGGTGAATGGAGAACTCAGTGAGCGTTCATTTCTCAGCGACGATCTACAGCAATTTTGCACTGACTTTCCAATATACCTATTGAAAGAGTCACGAAACTCTTTGGCAGTCATCGGCATCCAAGAAGCGGGTAAGAACCTAAAACTCTAGTCCGAGAGACATGCATGCGCGTCGCGCGAGCATGCGCGTCGCGCGAGCATGCGCGTTGTGCAAGCATACCGTTGTTGTGCTAGTCTTCCGCGCCTCTTACTCCACGAGGAACTGGTTATTAATCCATGGCCATTTACAGTGGTTTCTTCTCAGGGGAAGTTTACATGGAGGTGGGGGGCCCCAAGGTAGGTGAGGTAACCCACTTAGGTGTATGGGGTAAACCTTCCTGTCCATATAATCATTTTAATTTGAGAACGTTTGCATGATAGGCGGGGTGACCATATGAGAGATTATATGGACAGGCGGGTTACCCCATCTAAGCAGGTCACCTCAACTACCTCGGCTCCCCCACCTTCATGTAAACAAGCCCTTAATGGCTGAACGCCTGACCCGAAGTATTTTATCCTATCTGTACCTGTCCATTTGCCTTTATGGTATCCAGTTTATTGACTCACCAATTTATTCGGTACAGTTGTAATATTTTTGAAGTTATCAGGTTTGTAGCGTAAGGGGGCTGTGACACGGCTTCAAAGTTAAAGTTACTAATATTGCAAATTACGCTTTCTTATGGGCTACTGAACTTAACGTTGGCGAGGAAAATAACTTGTAAATGACAAAAACATAGCTTTTTGTGCGACAAATATGCCTCTCAAGCATTATATCAAATGTTACAAACAATAAAAAGAAACTTTGAAAAACTCTTAGGCTAAAAAGTTTTGAAAGACCCATAATTTCACTCCTTTCCAATTTTCTTCAACTTTATCTATCCGCGTCCACTTCTATATTTGCTGTGTTATTCATACTTTCTTTTAATGCTTTGATCTTTTATTTTTATGTTTCACTCCAGGTGGCGACAATTCGTAAAAATATTTACGTGACACAGCTCTAAACACAGCTCTACACAGTACCAAAAAAGTTATTTTTTTCTTTCGCAGAAATTGCAAACCGACTGCGGAGACAAGCTATACCCTACGTAGGCAAAATATGCGATGGCGGCATGGACTACGACACAGCTCTTCGTTTTTGTGATAAACCATATAGGAAGTGCAAAGTGGCCACCAGAACATGCTACAAGTGGGTGACATGTCCAGGGGGAGGTAGGAGTGAGGCTCCCCCTTCCTCGTTAATGGCAGTAAACTCGCTCGTTGTTGAAGTACCTTCAAATGGTTGTTTGGAACGGCACGTATACGCAAACGTCAGCTGCTGCCAATACGAATGCCCGTAGTAAACACGAGTATTTCAGATAAATATCAAAAAGGAATTTTGGTTTTCTAGATCATTTGCTTTAAAAACTTGAGTCGGGTTTTTCCCATATTCCATTGCAGTAGAAGATTACAGAACAGTTTTCAACAGGGGACCAAAAGGTAACCCAGCTTACAGAAATGTCCCTTAACAAAATCGTTCTAAGAAATAAGTAATTGCCCGTAATAGCCAAATTCGAGGTTAATCGAGAAAGTTTTCTTTTCAGATAAAACTGACTCCAGTACACGCATTTAGAAAAGGTTCAACAAATTGACAATTCAATTTAAGCCGTGATGTTATTAGATATGAAGACTCGTAATCAATCAGTAAGAGGTGCGGTCGTTTGCGTTGCGTGTACACGAAGCAATAGATTACCCAGATACGCAGTTACCGTGCTCAAGGAAATTAAGACATGGGTGTTTTTCAGTTTCCTTCAAAAGTCGAGGGGTGGTCTATATTTTGAGGATTAAGGCCTATACAGCGACAAAACTTGAGTAAAATAATGACTCTCAAAATTTAATGAGATTCCGAGTAAAATAATATGTAAATTAGGTCACGTGACCATTAACGGCCATTTTTCGCGAAAAAAACTTAAATTAGAAATGGCACCATTTTATAATAGCAGTCAATCAAAGAAATTGTGACCAAGTGTGTCTCTAGACGAATGACTAGACATCTGTGCCCGGGCTTTATTGAATAATTTATTCAGAGTGTAAATAAACGAAATTTTGTACTAGTATCCAGTCCCCTTTTCAAACGATTTTCGAATTTCGTTCCTATCTAAAGGATTAACTTAGAAGGCCCGGGCACAGAAATGATGTACCCACTGGTCTTATTACTATGACGATAATTAAAACTTCCAGGAAGTAATTAAAAATGGTGCCATATTACCAAATAGATTTCTGTGCTAAAAATAGCCTTAATAGGTTACGTGACAATTAGTGACCCCAATCATCATTCAAAGTTATTAAATTTATACCCAGGAAGTTTGTCCTTAAGTTATTTTGTGCTATATTGAAAGCTTAAGAAGTTAGACCACCCCCCTTGTTTTTGAGGAATTAGATAGAAGACCCATGCCTTAGTTTTCTTGAGTGGTTTCGTAACCATTGTGGTAGGCATCATTATTATTGTTCTTCTTTTAGTATTGTGTGGATGAAGAGAAGGTGTTTTTATACTTGTTATGGTATTGCGTGTTATTGTTCTTTATGTAATAATCTATGTTGCGATGTTGTACATCTCTGTACACAAATTATCCTCGGTGTGGAAGTTTTGTAACGGAATGTACTATAGCACTAATAATAATTACGTCCTTATTCATCAAAAGATAAAAATACATATCTTTTGTTACAAGTATAAGTGTAAGAAATTTTAAAAAGGTAAAAAGTAAGAATTAAAAATCTAGTATATTACATAGCTAATTCATATTTAAAAACTAAACGGTTAATAAAAGAGTTTTGAAAACACATAGTGTTAATCTTAGGTTTAAAACAAGTTTCTTTCCTAAGATTGTAACTGGACGGTTTGACACGAGGCATTATAGATAAGAGTGGATGTCCTGTAGAGTTTGAAACTTTTCTAAAAATTTTGCGATCTTGCCTCTCTAAGAAATCATAAACACTTACAGGCTTAGACGTATATTTCCTTTTAAAACAACGGTCTAAGAAACATTGCACAGGTGTAAGATCGGACTCGGACGCGGCGTACACAGATAATGCGTAATTGATATAAGGTAGAACTATTGTATTAAAGAGAAGGTGTATTTCTGACTGATTGTACCCCTCTTTGCGAAGCGTTCTAAGGATATGTAGGGATTTGTTAGCTTTAGTAAGTTTGTTCTTCACGTGCACTGAAAATTTGCTGTACTGATGTTAGTTACGTTGCTGAAGAAGGTGTGGAGATAACTTTACATAAGGAAAGTGTTGTTGTAGATGAACTGAGATCTCGTCGTGCGCAATTCATTTATGACAGAAAATTGGGTTACAGCCAGGCGGTCATGCATCTAGCAGACTTCCGGGGAAGAATAAGACGTCTGTTTATATACACAAAATGAGAAGAGTAAGGGTATTTGTATGGAAGGGTATCCGGAAAATATCATTTTTCAATATTCCTCCGCATTCGCAATCAATTCCGCAACTACGACCCGAAGTGTACTCTCCCATAGCGTCTTGTTTTTGCTTAGTGTACTGTTACCCAGGGAACACTGCCTATTTTCTCCATAGAACTAAATTCCCGATTTTGACATTTCTGTTTATGAAGTTTACTGCAAGGCCACTTCTTCATTTAAACCCAGGGTTTATTCGGATAAAATTCCAGCCCTATTTTTAGCTTCCTTGGTTATTCTCACATTCCAATAGTTCCGTATGACTCGGGAGCAGTACTCCTCCGCTGACGTACCTATAAAACACAGGTACGTTTTACGCGCATGAGTTATTTTGAATGCTTCAGTGTAACCGTATCGACAATCTACTGTTTTCTTCGCGAAGAATGCCCGGTCACATCCAGGAATTTAACAGGCTCAAGCCGCATTCGAGCCACGATGTGGTCTACAAAATATGGCGAAATGATAAGACTGAAGCGAATTTGAGAGTTTTTTGTCTCTGATTGTTAGTTGCTCGTAACCAATTCTCAATGGGTATCACCGGAATATAATATCAAGAAACATCAAATTCAAGATCTTACCTTCGATTAATGCCAGCTTATCGGATTTCAGTGCTTTTTTTTTTGCGCTAAAAACCGACCAAAAATTTGCAATTTTTGTATGGATTTTCGCGTGCGTAGATATTCACGGAAAGATTAAAACCAAAGTTTGCAGAAATTGCGAAGGCTACCACCTGACATCGTGACATCTTTTGTCTGCCTTTAAAACCACCAAAGTCTTTTAATTAAGGAATACGACCAGTAATAGTTGACACTACAGCTGCCTGTATATTGTTGGTCAATAGTATTCTTGCTTGTTGTGTAGCTCTTTGAAATATACCGATTCATAATGAAGAATTTCACACATATTCCATACAATAGGTGAGATAAATACAGGAAATAAACGCAAGGTTCAATGCACAGTTTCGGTTCGATTGGCAGCTTTGATCAAAACATTTTCAATTTCGAGAATGGTTTATTCTAAACCTTAAGAAAAGATTAAATTAGAAGTTGAATTTTTCGCTATTTCTCTGGCAAACTTTCCAAGTGTTTATATATACACAGTTATACGCACCTTATAACTTGCGCTTAACGAGTGTCTTTTGGTCCATAACTTTCAAAACAACTGCTCCACAGAATGTCACTGATAACACGTAACGCAAAAGAGTATCGAAGTATGACTGCACAATAAATGTCACAAAATCTACCTGAGCGGTCCCTTCGGGATTTTCTGTCTTTACGTCATCCTAACCATTTCGTACTTGCGGGCGCAAACAATAGAAACGTCATCATTACCTACCGATTCCTCGCGGCCCCTGTTCAAGCAAATCGAGATTTTTTCTATATTGACTGTATGACTGTATATTTCAACTGTAAGTACTTTCCTTAATATACGCGCGAGTAACTAGAGTGCCTCCTTGGGATTTCGCCTTCCGGGCGAAATCCCAGCGGGGGCAATAAAAACTGGTTTTTTGTTTTCCTTTGAATTTGACCTGAACCCGTGAGGGGTAGACAGCACGAAGAAAACTTTCAGAAAACGTCTTGGAAAGCCAAACAAATTTCTCCGCGGCTCCGGCCGCCATGTTTGTTGTTTTTCAAACTTGTTTCCAGTACTCTTTGACCGTTTTCTTGTTTTTACCCGATTGTGGAGTGGCTCTCGCTACCCGATTGTTTTTCGCCCCCTTTTTTGTCTGTTTCTCCCTTTTTGCTTTTAAACTTGGTGCGACGGCAATGTTATGCTTACGCAATTGGTTTATATACTAGACCGGAAATAAAAAGCTGACCGAATGTCAAATTTTGTGCTCATGAGCAGTGCGTTTTGCCGCGGTGTTACCCCATTGTGGAGTGGCTGTCGCTACCCAATTGTTTTGCGCCCCATTATTCGCTTTTTACCCCACCAAGCAGTGCCCAGTCCGTCGTTCGCCTTTTTACTCCCCACCAAGGAGCCCTGGTCCTAGGCTGGTAGCGCTTGGTGTCAAGGGATGGACCGTCTTATGGTTGAGTTTTACCCCTCGTTTAAATTTTACGTTCGTCTAGGTTTTGGTATGGTGATGCATGATAATAACTTTGGAACAAAGGAAAACAAATTAAATCAGAAAAACCGTGAAACTGAACCACGACATATTCAAAATTACCCACCCGCCACAATGCACCCGTCCTTTCCCCTCCCATGACAACAAAGTTATTGGAAAGAAATCCTCACAAAGGAACTTTAATATTTGCATGTTTCATTAAGTAATGCAAATTAATATGTGCCCTCCCTACGCATTAAATAACTAAACAAACTAGGAGTAATCGGAGCTTAGAAGAGTGCGTTCGATATGTTTGTAAGGCGTGCAGGTAGCAGTTGAGGAGGAAGGGTGGATGGTTATTGCGATAGATTAAGCCCGTTTTCCATATGATCGCTACGATCGCTGTGATCGTTGCGATCGCTGAGAAAAAAAAGGTTCAGTGATCATATGAAAACCACTCTCCAGCGATCGCAGCGACAACGAGCGCTGAGACAGAACTTTTTGTCTCAGCGATTTTTGTCGCTGCGATCGCTGGAGAGTGGTTTCCTATGATTGCTATGATCGCTGCGATCGCTGGAGTTTTTTTTTTTCTCAACGATCGCAGCGATCACAGCGATGGTAGCGATCATATGAAAACCGGGCTTTAATTTGATCATGGCATATTTTAAACGTAAGGATTGCTTACAGCGAAACCTCTATTTAAACTGTGTATCATTATGAAAAAGCATTGAAG